ACACACACACACACACACACACACACACACACACACACAAAAATGAGCTGTGACTGCACAAGGCCACAACTCACCCTTCACTACCAGAGCTTTTCTGGAGCAGTCTAGGGAACCAAAGAGAACCACAACAACAACATAGTCATATATTGGTGTGATGATTGACAGTTTTTATTGACTGACCAATAAAGTGTTGTATGCTCACCAAGTCTGCATTTATTTGATCAAAATACAATAAAAAGAGCAAAAGTGTAAAATTTGATGCAATTTAAAATAACTGACTCAATGTTAATATATTTCAAATGTAATTTATTCCTCTGATGACAAAGCTGAATTTTCACAATGAAGACATTTTAAATGTCTTTTCTGTCACTTTTGATCAATTTAATGCAACCTTGCTGAATAAAAGTATTAATTTCTTCAAAAACATTTTCACGGATCCCAAACTTTTAAACGGTAGTCAAGAGCTTAGTTACACCACTCCAGCTATTATATGAGCTGTTTTTTTTTTTTTTTTTACAGTACACACAGTCATGCTTCAACATTCAGTTAATTCTCTGATTACAGACCGAGCTGTCTGACATTTAAAATGTGCAAACATAATATTAAGTGTCAGTTGTAACTTGGTTTAGGTACATTTTAAGGTGGAATGACATCATTGGAAACTTGTAGAATTCCCCACCAATCCCAGTGTGGTTGCTCTTTTTAATGCCCCGACATTACATGGACTCTGATCAAATGAAATGTTGTACTTGGGGTTCAAGTGCTAGGTGTGTTTCCATGGTCACATAAGTGTAAGTTCCAGCTTTCACAGGATCACAAGGGTGTGGGGAATTTGGAGCTAAAGCGCATTGTAAGCTACCTCATAAAGAGTGAATGTGTCTGACTGGATTATTTACAGACATTGCTCAGGTTTTAAAATTCCACCACAGCATAGCTGGATACACTAGCACCTTATAAAGCCTGTTAGGAGCTTTTACTTAAACGAAAGCCACAGCAATGGAGTTTGTACATGATGTATCAGTTTCTTATATGTATTTGTCACCAGAATCTGTCTTTTTATTAAACACAAACAAAATGCAATTCACAGGCAATTGGTCAGTCTCTGCGAAGACAAAAAAGGTCTATCTGTATGGCAAAAATCACTTTCCTTGGTGTTCCTGTAAAAAGGTTTATGCATCCTAATGCAATTATGTTAATAGATAAATAAATGCTAAAAATCAATAAAATGCTTTTTTATAATTAAATAAAGTAAACAAAGTTATAGATCAAATAAATAAACCATTTACCCACCTTTCACTTAGCTGCTATAGGTAAATAACTAGAATAATAATAAACTGCATAAAACTGCAAAATTATTTGTACTACAAACCAGTGTATTTATGATTACACAAATAAATTAAATTAATATAACAAATACCAGTTTGCAACATCAAGGAGTATAAAGTATTGTTTTTGTACAGTTAAAATTACTGTAAGGGACTGATGCCATTGCACATTCAAATTAAAAATGGCTGTACCCGCTCTTATGTTAAAAATAGGGTGGGTAAAACACAGCATGGATCAAATTTCAAGGCTGAGAACCATTTTGACATCAAGACTTCATGCACAAACTGCACAAACCAAAAAGAAGTTCAAATTTGGAAGCCAGTCCAAAATAATTCAAGAGAAAATCCAAATATCTACCTGTTACAATTATTCATCAAGTGGCAGGTCTCATGCAATCAAACTCACACCCATATTAAACTCACAAACATCTGCCATTGCCAGTATCAGATCATAGTTAACATGAGAATGGGAAAAGTACACCGCAGCTGAGATCACGATGACAAGCACACACAGGCATTTCTGCAGGCTTAGAAACCTAACCTCTCCACCATCAGCCTCTTCCGGTATCGCACACGGCTGGCCTCTCTGATGGCTTGCCATTTCTGCATATCTTCCTCACTGCAAGATAAAGAAACACCAGGAGCTTCCCTTTCCATCTTTCCTTGGGTATTTAAAGCTCTTAGCTTCCTAAGTAGCATATCATCTGCCTTCAGGTGCTGTTCTGCTCCGTGTTTAATCTCTGGTTTGGGTTGGTGCTGTCTGGGTTCAACTGGGTCACACATCAGCTTGGCCTGCTGTTTTGGTGGCAAAGCCCATGCCTCTGGAATAGGAACAGGGTGGTAGTTATCAGCGGCCCCAGACAGAGGGCGATGACTGATTTGCTGTTGAGCCCTTCGAAAAACCACATCGTCTTTTTCAATGTCAGGATAAATGGGTTCACTTTCGTGGCGGGGCTGAATTACCACCATGACGTCGGCCTTCGATCTGCGGCGAGACAACAGGAAGTTACCATACTTCAATTTGGCCAGGTCATTGCTTGAGTGGAAGGTTTTTGTACGACGTGTGAACATATCGTCATTTTCCAAATCAGGCAGGATGTCGGCAGAAACGTTGTATGGGTCGTTAGGGTGTTCACGCCCAAGGAGGGGACGCTTTTCACATTTTATGAGTCTGGGGCCAGAGGCGGGATCCGGTCTGGGCCAAAAATCAGGGGGCTTTAAATTATGCAGCCCAGCAGTCTGCTGAGCAACTGTGAGAGGTTGTATTTGACAACTGTGGTGAATGAAAGGAGAAAAGAGCAAAGAAAGGATTCAGAACATGCAAGGGACAGTAGGAGAATGCAAGTGTAAGAATCAATAAGCAAGAGTAGTGCATGCAGGAGGATGCAACTAACCATGTGATATATAAGTAACAGCAGCATTATTCGGTCTCTATTTGTTCTGGATTTTTGGATAAACAGCAGTGTGAGCACTCTGCCACAAAATACTAAGAAGTTATATTTACTAAAAGTTAAATACAAGAACAGTAAGTATTTTTAAGAATCTTGACCCAGGCCACACAACAGTTCATAGCGACCACGATTTTTAAGGCTGGTTCACACAAAGCATGATAACTACAACGATAACAATAAAGTTTTAATAATTGCTCTAATTTCTTGAGAATAGTGAAGTCCACACCACAACTATAATGATAACGACACAAGGGGACAAAATTATTGAAATCACATTCAGAACTATATTTTTTTCCAGTTAATGAAAGATAAAAACATTGAGAGCCAATCAAAATCCATCTGGCTTTAAAGTGTATGAGCATTTAAAGTGGCAGACGATGTAACTATACTTATAATAAACATAATCTTATTATGTGTTGGTGTTGATGCTAATATAATACTTATTATACATAGTTATCGTTTTTGGTGTGAATGGGCCTTGAAGCTCCAAAAATTCACCAAAATAGAGCTATAAATTTGGTCCATACAATGCATTCGTAATATTTCACATCTTCTGAAGCCATATTATAGCTTTGTGTAAGGAAAAGACAGAAATTTAAGTCATTATTCACTGATAATCTTCCCCTTCAAGTCAGCTGTGGCAAATCATTCAAGAGCTGCTGTAACCAGATCATCAGTGTGTTTGTAAAGCAATTGATCAATCAGATTTCTAAACTGAATCAGCTGTGTTCACTGAAAAGACTCAAAGAAAATTGACACATTCACTGATCCGGTTCTCAAATTCAACTCACTGACTCATTATATTATATAGTCTCAATTATTTTTGAAGGAATATCTTAATGGAGGGCCTTATTGGATAGCTTTGTCCTCTTCTCACACAAACCATGGGCTTCACTTGTAATGAGTTGCATGAACCACTTTCATTACTATGAACAATGTTGTTGGAAAAGAGCTGCATAAAGATTCATGTTTTTGGGTGAACTGTCATTTTAACATCCCTGAATTATGTGAATATTGATACTATGCTGACAATTCTGACCATTTCCATTTGGATACAAATGCACTTGTTTGGTGAGATCACTAACATTCATGATGATAATTTCGAATAAAAAAACACTACATGTTAGTAAGCACCAGTTCATACATTTATTAGAACATGAGAAGAAGCTGATTGGGGGAAGTGAGTAGATGTCCAGTCCTAATGCATATGGGGCTGTGATAAGGACCTGAGTGGGGAAGTGAGGCTGGACTGAGCGAGGCCTTCAGGTGCATGGGAGTGAGAGGGAGGGGGTTCAGATTGAGTGCGGGAGAAAGTAGGTACAGAGAGCCAGGGGTTGACGTCACCGTCTGATTCTTCAGAGGATGAACCTGACTTCTTGTGGCTGGAAAATGTGAGGTAAAAGAGCACAGAGAAAGACAGAGGAGAAAGGTTAGCAACCATCACCACAAAGAAGACAGAGAGGTAACAGAGAAGCCTTAGTGATAAAGTAAATAAGCCAAAAAGAAACCTGAGGGTTTACAGTGCACCAAAAGTATTTGGACATTTAAGCCACACTTAAAACTATATGAAAGTATGAGCAAAACCTAATACAAAATTTGGACACTTAATCGTTGGTCGATTTTGTAGAACACGTCCAAATAACAGGTCTACCATCATTTGTTTGTAACCACATTTAAGTGTGACCTAAGTGGCCAAATACTGTACTCTTTTGGAGTCAGTGTATTGCCAGACATGTCTTTACGGTGTGTTAGAAATGAATATCTGAACATTAATGGACTGATCGAGAGGGCTAGGTATTGAGAACAAGTTCTTATTTAGATTTCATAAAAACTTTGTAACTGCAATAAAAAAAACATTTTAATGTCCAAATGATTTTCATGAACAGTTGCCAATTATAATAAATATGAAGATGTTATTTATTTTGATTTTAATGTCCTGTTGATATCTGAAACTCTTATAAGTTGGCAACAGCTTCTTACTGGAGTGAATGCAGTAAGAATTGTCATTGTCAAAATAGTTTTCATTCTTTTTTCCTCAAAATTATGAAATATTGTGAACAGAAACATTACGAACCAGAGAATCTGAATCTCTGGCAAGAAGCAGAATCATGACTGATTCCCTCCCCTTCTGCTCATCTGATATATCATGCATATCTTGAAAAATGAAGTATTCCTGGAGTTTTCAAAGTTTTACTCATTTTAATTCTTTACAGTATGTTTTTCTCTTTTTTTTTGCCTCAGTACTGGACAGACCTGAATCCTTGCATCTTCCTGTACCAAGGCCGGCGCTGGGAGCCCAGTTTGATCTTCTTCACGTGTGCATCCTCCTCAGGTGTCCAGAACTTGGGCAGAAATTTATCAAAAGGCACTGTTACAGACGGTTGAGGCATCAGGCCTACTTTACGGGCATAAATATCATCTTGAACAGGATCGGCATAGCCAAACTCGTCATCCTCTTCCTCAGAGTCATCATAAACGCAGACACCAGCCGATACAGGTCTCCTGTAAGTCCTCTGAAGAGGCTGTGACTGACTGCTGCTCAAAAGACAGCCATTTTTGTTACATACCGCCAGTGATCAATGCACATCAAACCATCCATGATTAACAAGCACAGCAAACCAAATAAAAAGCAAACACTGAAAACAAAATGTTTCAAAAAAGTCCACACTATAGGTTGAAAATCAAGCGAAATAAAGACATCACAGCAATGAAGAAATCCCACAGTTAGCACTGATAAAATGGCAAACTGATGCCAGTTCTGACCTGAGATGGGTCAGTGTCTGCCGGGACACATTACTGACAGCCACCTGTGACCTGGTAGTACACGGGACAGCAGTTGTCTCCAGGTGGCTCATGGGTAAGGCAAAGTTGGTCAGAGCGACAGGGGAGGGGCTGTGAAATCTACGGCTAGCGAGGTCATCTAGAACCACGTCGGGATCCGGTCGGTCTGCATCCGAATCACTGCTCTCATACTGATAGGCCAAAGACGGGCGAACGGCTGTCTGGGATTTCAACCCGGTGATAGATGAAGGGTCTGAACCTGCCCTCTCATGACTGGGACGGACCGGCAGTGATGGTCACAAAAGCACAATGCCAAGATATAGTGGGAAAAATAAGCACCGGCAAAGACAAACCAACAAAGGAGGCATGTAATGATAATGAATCTAAAAAAAGTGAATGACCAAAAGTTCACATTCAAATCTTTTGATTGCAGATTTCAGAGCACAATGTGAGACATTGTTGAGTTCTTTTAAGATTCAAGAGGATTTAAGATTCTTTTTTTTCTCTGGAGAAAAATCTGGGAAGCTGGAGACTAAAGAAAGTTTTTACTCTCATTTTAATTTCATTGCTGTCTAGGATAGAAACTTGTGAATTTTCTATCCTAAGGCCTCCTTAGAGAAAGACCAAACTTGCAGGAAACATTTTTCTTGCAGAAAACATGTTCCGGATAACATCACATATCATTGGTCACTTTGCGCCAGAGTAGGTGAATATATGCCGTCCACTGAAAATCCCCTATGATCTGTAAAGTGTAGACTTGCATTACCTTGTAAAAGTGCCATCATCTTCTGTGTACATAGGGCTAGCCCAGCTTCTTCTGTTGTCGTCATTTCGCTCGGCACGTTTCTTGCGTAATGGTGCTGGAACGTAGCCTGACTGCTTGTCCTTTGATGGCAGGAACTGATTGTACTGAGTGGTGGTCTTAGGTGCAACGACCAGTGAACGGCGGTATTCTTTATTTTCTGACATCATGAAGCTCAGATCTGCTTCAGGGTCACTGCCACAACCTAGAGAAACAGCACAGACACCCAGGAGTGTGAGCTATAAACACACGCACATGCACCCATGATTGTTTTTCTGTTCTGGTGGGGACTTTCCATTGACTTTTATAGTTTTTATACTGAACTAATATTTTCTAACCCATAACCCTAAACCTAACACTTACAGAATGTAATGGAATACTTTTTTGAATTTTCAGATTTTCTTTTAGTGTATTTATGAAGTTGTTTTTCTGGGGACTGTTGGACAGTCCACACAATGTAGCTGAATGCACGTTTTACTATTTTTGTGATGACAAAATTTGATCTAGACAAAGTACACAGTGCAAACAAGATTTTTCTTCATCAGAATCTATTTTACACAGAAATCTCACCAAATTTCATTATATTTTTCTTAAAGCAAGAAAAATCTATTTACCAATGGGGTAAGAAAATAAGCTTACAGTAATTCATATAATTATAAGACACTACCATTGAAAAGTTTGGGCTCTGTAAGATTTTTTTTTTCTTCTCGAAGATATCATTACTTTTTTTTTTATAGCAAAGATGCATTAAACTGATAAAAGGAAATTATATTTCAAATAAATGCTGTCCTTGTGAACGTTCTATTCATTAAATACTCTTGGGGAAAAAAGCATCATGTTTACACAAAAATATCAAGCATTACACTCATTTTCAACTGTGATAATATCAGAATGGTTTCAAAATGATATTTTGACTGGAGAAAGACTGGAGCAATGGATGCTGAAAACATATCTTTGCCATCACAGGAATAAGCTACATTTAAAAATAGTAAACAATTATTTTACATTGTAATCATATCTCACAAAATTATTGTTTTTACTGTAACTTTTAAATGGTAGAATTCTTAGAAAATGTCTTCATCGTCCAAATATAGACAACAAGACAACTTTTTTTTTTGTAGTGCACTCATGCACATACTTCTATGTAGTAAATATGGCAGTGGGAAGCGACTGACTCATTGACAGGTCAGTGGGGAAAAAGAAAAAAAAGTCTCACTGTAGTGAATGTGTAGAAAGCCCAGAACACTAATTACATCAGCTGCTAATTACATCAACACCTTCCTCATGAGCTGCAATTGAGCCCCCTGAGACCATGACGGAGTAGAAAGCTGCTAATGTCACTGAAACGCAACCATGTAGAAGAGTATGAGTGGATGGAAGTTTGCACTTTCCATCAAACACTGTCCCAGTCAGCTCATGACAAAAGCCTTAAATGGTTTCACTCATAAACCACTAGAGGGCACCAAGCACTTGTTTAGACAGGCAAGAGTTAATTAATAAACTATACTGCAACTCAATCACAGTTTTTATTTTCTGTGGCACTTCACAGCTTATTTCACTTTTTTTTTGTCTAAAAAGACACAAAATGAAAGACCAAACTTCACTTTTGATACAACTACTCATCTCTGACTGCCTCAAAGTCAAGTTAGAACACACAAGAGAAACTTAAGAGACTGAGGAGTCTTACCCTCGCTGCTTCCTTTGAGTGTAGCGTCTGAGGATGTGCTGTAAGTTCTGGAGCCCAGTGAGTCGAGGCTGTCTAGAGAGTCTTCTCTCCTGTGTCCGGCTCGTAGTGGGAAGAGCTCTTCTTTCTCTGAGTACCAGCTGTCTCTACAAGAGCTGTTTCGCACACTGCCCTGCAGTGATGTGCAATCCTCTAGTGTCTGTTGAGCACAAGGGTGTGAGCGTGAGGGACCAGCACACAGTGTGCACAAGGGAAAAACAAACAACAAACACAGCATACAGCCTCCATCAGTGCAGTGCGCACAGTCTTGCTCATGAGAAGCTGCTGTCTTTTCCATTGTAAGTCATGCCATTAAAGCTGATCATGTACATAGAAGTATTTAAACTCTGTTCTGACATTGATGTGTATTAACAAAAAGATTTGCACGGCTATTTCTGACTACAATAACTGAAATATGCAGAGTTTTAAATTGAAATAGCAGGTTTAATGACAAAAATTATTTTGATGGCACTTCTATAATAATATAATAAGCATGGCAAAGTTCTATTTAAATTCAAATAAATGTTTTTTTTTCCATATGCAAAAGTCAGTATCAAAGCACTTAATTGCTATTGGCTCACTGTTCCTTAATATTTAGTTAAACCATGAGACCAGTCTTCTGCATTTTTAGCAAGATATTTTAAATACCAGAATGGATATAAAATGAGATTTACATGGTCAGCTAGTCTAGAAGAATCTACGGTGTTCAAGCACTACAATTTAACATCTAAAAGTAAATACTACAGTCAAATACTGCATAATGTCAATAGATATCTTACCTTATATAGTGCTTTGCCAAGTAATCCCTCGAAAGCCTTTAGTTTTAGGTAAGGTCCATTATAAAAATGATCAGCATGTGCCTTTCTGCCCAACCAGTATATGGTGATCAGAACCTAGGAAACAATTCAACACAACTGTATTAGAACACACTGCAACAAAGATATGATTCAGTGATAAAATCCAATGCTACTTCATCCCTGGCTGCATGCTGAGATGTCAACAGAAACTAGTTAAATCACATTGCAAGATTAAAAGCCATTATATACCCTGGCCCAAAAAAATATTAGGACACTTATAACACTTAGTTGCTTAAAAGATGCTTTTTGAGCCATTTCTCAAATTACTCTTACTCAAGAGAGGTGAGGGGTGTCTTGAGCAGCGTACTTGAGTTTTAGATAAAGCCTCTTGAAATGTTACTATTATATACTGCCACTGAGCTATTTAAGAGATAAACAGACAACCACAAACCACAATATGGAAGCTGCAAAGTGAGAATTTTATTTAGCATTGCAGGAATGAAGCCAGACTCCTAAAACTCACAGCATATTTCAAATGAACAAATTAGGAGATAAACAGGAGCAACACAAATAACTCAGCATTAGCACTTACATTTTTGAGCCTCCTGCTGCTCTCCTGGTGCCTGTAGAGGAGAAGAGGTGTTTGGTTAATCACTCACAGCCTGGGAAAAAGACAATAAAAAACAGTGGGCATGTATTGGGTCTCTGTGTGCCCTGGTGAACGAGCTAGAAGGTGAAAGCACAATCCCATCAGGCCAGTTCCCGGCAGCTCTATACAAAAGGATATGCACTGAAAACATGTTCACTCAAACAACCAGATGAACTACAGCTAAATAACCCTACTAAAACTAGCTTAATTCTAAATTGACAGTATATATTTTGTCAGAAATGCGACAAGCACATAAACAATAAAACAATGATAAGACACAGTACATGTACTGTGTATGTTCTTCTTTTATGTCACCTTCTTGTCCTTGACAGGTTTTTTTTTTATGAACACTGTCACACAAGGTGAAGATAAAATAGGATCACAATAAAAATACCAAATTCCTCAATGTAAAACGTCAATGGAATTTTGAACCCAAGATCCTTGACATCCTGTTGCTGGGTGTGTGTGTTTCCTTCTCCTACGTTTTGACCAAGGAGATTATATAATACTTCAGCCATTTGCTCTCTGAATTGGAGGTCCCATGTTTACTAGCTAAACTTTGACTTGGTTTTCCCTGCAATTTTTAGCCTATGCCTTAACATGAAATAACATAAATATAAAACACAAAATAACATCCATTTCCCTAGAGATATAGATAATACAATGTCTGGATTGTGCATTTTAGTATTTGGAGTGCCCAGAGTATTTAATGACACTGGGAGGACCTGCACTGTAGGTACATACCATCCTGACACAACAGAGCACATTCTTACAGTACTAACAATACACTCTCAAAGTCAATACAATACATTTTAGCTGTGACAGCCATGATGCAAGATTTATGACACAAGCTAGTGTTCAACAGCTGAGAGGTTGGAGAGCGATTATGCTAGTCAGCGACCTGTGTGTTTTTCAAGCTGGTGAACCTGTATGACATGTTCAACTTGCTGAATGAAGGCGTTCACTGCTCCCGATAGCAACAATTTATTGCTCCAATAAAAGGTAAAAAAAGTATGTGTCTGACATCGGAACAAAGTCTACATTTACAAAGCTGCTGGAAAACAAAAAGTCAAGAACATTCTGCCTTAAATGCTTGTTACCTAATGATAATTTATGAGCCCCGAAAAAGCCAAAGGACTCTTTGTTGGGGTGAGAAAAGATAGAACCTCAAGGGTGTATTTTGGTTTCATGTGATCAGCTGTTCACATGAATATGAGGTGTTTATTTATTAGCTGTGGGGGAAAAAAAGATCAAAAGATATTATCTAATGGAGAAGGCACTGATCTTGAAAGGGAAAGCTAAATCAGCGAAATCAGCATTTCTGATCCAATCTGATAACAGAGAACGAAAAAATTAAAATTCTGTCATCATTTATTCACTCTCATGTTGTCATGAACCCATATGACTTTATTCTGATGAAGATTTTTTTGAAAAATGTTGTACTGGTCCTCTTTTCCTTGCAAGTACAATGACTGTACTTTTCAAGCATTAAAAAGAATGCAAACACACCATAAACCAATAAAATGTATCATAAAAGTAGTCAGCAACACTTACATTTTGGTTTCTTCTTTGCAAAAAGCTATAAAATATGGCTTCGGCTTTGCAAGATATGCAAATAAAGCACATGGACCCCTTTCCCTAAAACTTTTATGGAGCATTTTTAAAAAATATTTTGGAGCTTGACAGCCTCTGTTCTAACTCATTATATTGAAAAGAGTGGCCAGTATATTTATAAAAAAATTCACTTTCAAATATTGACTTTTTGGGGTGAACTACCCCTTTAAGTTGTTAACACTGAGTTATGTTAAAAAATAAAAGCAGTGGCACTGGTGTTTAACAGCCGCTCGTGCCACTCTTAATTCTCCATCCTTTAGTAAGAGAACTGTGGCTGGAACATTCCAATTGCAACAGCTCTTTTTTCTACTCAAAACACTGTCAGACATAATCAGAGACAAATGCTTTTCAATGGGGTCTCTATTCACACAACAGACTTTAAATGCTTTGAACTAATGTGTCTAAACAAGTACAAGACTGCGTCAAATTGCTTATAATCACCCGTCTGTTCCCAAGACAAAAGAAAAAAAATGTTGTTTGCAATAATGACTGTTTGTGAGAATATAATGCTTGCACTGTTACATTCTCACAAAAGAAAACATCAACCTGCTGCATTCTGTAATATTTGTGTGTAATGGACTCAGAATCTAAGCTACATTCCCAAAAGCTGTTTTTTTCTGGTAGTTTTAGGGCCTGAAGATACAGTCAGTGTCATAAACAAGTGCTGTACTAGTCCGTGGGAAAGTCACACTGGCATGATTATTGTGTCATGTCAAAGTAGAACACAATAGAAGTTTCTAAATGATACTATGCTGTTTCACTCTAAACAATGTCCAAACCACAGAGGCTCATACAGATGCTGTGAGTGAAAAAGCAGGATAGTCTATAATAGAGATAGAATATTGCCTATGCATAATCTAAAATACTTACACATGGACAAAGTCCAGCCCTCAGTTACACAATATCCAAGGCATATTTCTGGAATTTTCAAGTCTAACATCCGTCTTCAACATCGAAATGATTCATGTCCATAAAAATGTGGTAAAGACCTTCCAGTCCCTTTTGGGCAAAACAATAAAATGACGCAGTGACAATGGTCGGGCAGGTTCATGACACATCAACACCCCTTATTTACAAAGCCTAATACTAGAGGGTGTGTGTGCATAGCTGGGATATTAAGACCTCACAGCCCAGTTCAGTAACATTCAGCGGGTAAAGAATGTTCCTGGTTTTATGAACAAATGCTAATAGTGAGTCATGTCAGATTGCATCAATCTTACTTTGTGTCTTGACTTTTTTTTTTTTTAAAGTCTTCACTCACAGCCCTATGATACAACATAAACATTTCAATGGAGGCATCAGCAGTGATTGATTTAATGCCTCCCAAAAGACTTGATACATCCTTATCCGAATCACCAGCTATAATCCACAAGTAAACATTGTAAAGATATAATTTTCACTAGCCTGATGAGCGTGTCGAACAAACACAGCTCTTGTTTGTCCGTGTGGACAATTGAGTAATTCACAATGTACCAGTGTTCATGTCACAGACACCACTGATGCCATCCAGTGCCACACACCATTGAGAAAATAACCTATTCATTCAAAATAACCTCCCATAACTCTTATAATGAAAATCTTCACAGTTCACAACACTGTGAAACCAGAGTGGATCTTTTTCACTTTCAGCATGCAACAGTGCACCAACAGTACTTATTTACTGGTCTAAATGGAGTTAAACCATCATTCAAAACTTTGGGGTTAGTATAACTTTTTTAATGTTTTGAAGTCCTCTATGCTCACCAAGGCTACATTTATTTGATAAAAATGCTAATTTTTCTAATTTCTTATGATCAATGTTGACAACAGCTGTTCTGCTTAACATTTTGGAAATATGTGATGAATTGAAGTTGAAAAAGAACAGCATTTTCAGTCTTGCTGAATAAAAGTATTAATGTTTTACTTACAAAAATTTGCTGACCCTAAACTTTTGAACGATAGTATATTTAAATCTAATAAAAAGGAACATAACATTCAACATATCCATTTTTTCAGTAATTTTCCACTTAAACATAGCTACAAAAAAACATCAGCCAACCTCAAACAAAGCATCTGCATGTACTAAGAGAAGAGACGTGGTTTATCTGGGAATCAGTTTGGCACTGTAGCATGAGATGATGATATCGGCGGTTAATAAAAACAATATTGTTAATGCCACACTGTATTACTGCTGTAACAGATACAGGATGACATGAAGCCAGAGCATTTGTGATCACATTTCTTTTATGATTAATTTGGCTCTCTTATTTGAAGCTATGTACAGTATGACTCCTCTTGAAGTCAATAACTGATGATTGTCCATAATTATTAGCATTGACTGCAGGCAAAAAGTGAGGTTTTATCAACTGCACAACACTATAAACTACTGGAATGCAGGAAGAGATATAATTCTTTATCATTAACTTTATGTAATCACTAATAACACGGCAACACGTTCACTGGATGAGACAATAATAAAACGCAGAGATAAAGTTCACACAACTACAGTGACAAGTAATGAAACCTTCTGAACCACCACTAGTCATAGTTGTCATCTACCAACACGTCTTGTCCATTCCACGACAAATTTTCAATCCTATGAGAATTCCTATTTTCAAAGAAGCTTCATGCCTATATGTTCAATACATCCTACATTTACACAACACTAATAAAAAACTAATCTGCCACTAGTACCTGGACAAAATAGTCATGAAAATCTCTCTTATGTTGGACTTGAAAACTGTTTTCCAGAATCCTTTTCATCATTTAAGCTATTTTTTCAGTTCAAGAAAAAGAAGTTTAAATTAAATAAATGCTACTTGAAATAAAATTAAATAAAAAATTATTGTCAACTGGATTAAAATATATATATAAAAAAAAACTTACATTCATTTTATTTCAGGCAAGGCAACATTTCAAAATGTTTATTGAAGTTAACTAAAATAACTAAAACTAAAATAAAAAATTAATAAAAAACTATAAAATAAAAATCACAAAAAAACAATGAAATTGCTAAAATTTTAACTAAAATGAAAATAGGAAATATATATGTAACTCATAACTCAAATTACATTGGTACTAAACAAAGGGATGTTGGCATTTAAAAAAAACCCAATACTTAGTTATAAAACACACTAGTGACTGGTGTAATTTGCAGAATTTATATAAATAATTTAGAATATTCAAATGAATAATGAACTTTTTGTTCACATAACCACAGCATTTAAAAATACATTAAAAGAAATCATATTTTATGAATTTATACTTTTATATACATAAAACTAACCCCAAACTTTTGATTGGTAGTATATATATAAGTAAATAAGTTGTATTAGGTAGCATGTCAGTAAATATTGATCGTGTTTATTAGCAGACATCAACAGGCCATGAAATGAGCAGCTGTCGTGCTGGAAGAGGCTGCCTGAGGGACAGATGACCCAGAGTTGTTTCCTGAGACACTCGCTTTTCATGGGCTGATGAGTAATGATGAATGCAGGGCCTGCTTATCTCAAGCCTGTCGGCAATAAGCTGCAATATCTCCTCACGTTGCCTTCTGTGTGACTGCGAACATTCGGCGTCAAACTCCACAAGGGCTGTAAACCTCAGATCAGTGTGAGAGATCAGAGAACTTTAATGTAGCGTACAAATTATGCCCTCACATTGCAGAAGGTTTACTGCCATCTGTATTAGCAGTTGGTGAAAGAGCATTGAAACAGGATAGTGGCACAAACAATGTATCGCTTCAGAACTCAACAAAATGCATGGCATTTGCTCGAATGATTTGGCAAGGGTTGGGTAAAAAACACTTTTAAATATCACTGATGGACTGCAGTGCAGAGCGGGTCGAGTCTAATTCTTGACCAGCTTACAGTTAGTATATGCAAACTGCACAGCCTACACAAACCCGCAACAGAGAATACAAGCCAAAACGGTAGTTAATGAAGTAAACACAAACATGTTCCTGAAGATGTAAAGTTACACCAGAGAGAATGAAGGAGAAAACAAACTATAAAAGTAACAGTCAGGAATCATATCACTGCTGCACTTTGTCTAGTGTCAAAAAGTGACCTTTCAATTCTAAAATTAGGACCCCTGGAACCCTTCTGACAAATGCCTGTCAGTGGACACAGATAAACCCTCCCACACACCCACAAACACACACCCTCAGACATATACAAGTGGAGTAAGTGATTATAATTATAGCCTATAGGGATTGGATGAGTCCTGTTTAATCAGAGCCTCTGTACGGTTGGCATGGCAGTGAGGGTGTGGCATGGTAACCGTCACGCAGCGAGGCTCGCTTTGCTTAATCTCAGCGTCTGACGGCGCTGTCACTTCAGCTGAGGTAACAATGACATGACAGGCAGAAACTTCCAGCCCTCCCTCGCCATATTCAAATCAGTCTTATCAATAAGGGCAGGCTGACTTTACATATTTGAATCATTGCTAATTTGGATGTGACGTGATACAGCTTTGATAGGTCACAATGGTCCAAACGCACCAATAATATGTGCTTGACTAGTTCAAGCCAGAGCTGAACACACCTTAGTCAAATGAAGCAGTTCACAAGGATCGACTATGAGAAAACACAGGAACAAGATGAAAATCAATTGCAGACAATCCACTCAATAGTTGACACAAAAATGATAATTTTCATGTTGTTTTTCTTCCTTAAAACCCATAACTTGAATTTTTGAAGAATATCATTAGAACTCTTTTTTTTTTTAACTTATTAAAGTGAATGAGAACTGAAGCCGCCGAGCTCCAAAATGACAAAAAAAAAAAAAAAAAACATTATAAAGTTTTGACTAATGTGGTTCAGACTGTGACTTGAGTGGTGTATTTCTTTCTAAATCTTCTGAGGTCATATGATGAGTTTATGTGAGGAACAGACCAAACTTAAGTCGTTATTCACTGAAAAACTTGACATTCTACATTTTCCCTGCCAGGTATTTGTAAGAGCTTACAGGAGTAGTGGTGTTTCCCAATTTTTAATGCATCTTTTTGGTGAAACTGATGAATCAGGTCATAAAAGCGGTCTGAATAATTCATTTACAAACTGAACTGATCCAGTTTTCAAGTTCAGCTCATTGACTCAATGATCTGGTTAACAAACCCCTGATGGAGAAGATTATCAGTGAATGACCGATCTGTTAGTCACAGCTATTTGGAAGTCAAGCAAACTACTTTTATTATATTTTTATGGTCCTTTACTTCCTTTTTGAAGCTTGGAAGCTTTAGTTTCCATTCATTGTAACTGCATGTAGTATAAGACAAAAAAAAAATAAATAAAACTAATGAAAATCACAAAAAAACAACAAAATAGCTGACATTTTAACTAAAATGAAATTAAAACAGGAAATGTATATAAAGCTCTTTCAAATTACATTGGTACTAAACATAACATATTCTTATAAAACACACTGGTGTAATTTGCATAATTAATATAAATAATTTAAAATATTCTAATGAATAATGAAAATAGCGCACAAGTCAAGCAAACTACTTTTATTATAATTTCATGGTCCTTTACTTCCTTTTTTAAAGCTTGAACGTTCCCATTCATTGTAACTGCAACCAGCATATTATTCAACATTTCTCCTTTTTTCTTCAGTGGAAGACAAAGTCAGGATTGGAATGACATAAGGGTATATAAATGATGACAGAATTATTATATTTGTGAACCTTTGTTTTGAACCTGAATCACACATGTTCTAGTTCATTTAAGTGACTTGTAAAATATAATAGCCTTGTACTTAGTGGTTTTGTTTGCAAATATCAGAGTGCTATTGTGGTGATGAACATGTCAGAGCTGGACTGACAGATCTCACGACGCAACCATACAAGACACACCTGTGAGAATATGAACAGGTTGATCAACATGCCATGTTTTTCCACCCTGGTCACAGGTATGGGCTGAGCCAAAACACTGAAACTACAACAATATAGCATGATTACAGCTTGCACATGACATAAAAATCTGTGAGTGGCAAATTCACACATCTCGGATTTACACATACACAAGTCAACTGTCAGCTTCTGATTCAGCGATAGTGAGAGTTTATGCTTCACTGATGAGGGTGATTCTGCTGTTTTAAGATCAGATTATAGTTTCATTACGACTCACCTCTGCTCTGCTTCATTTACTGGCTCTTCTCTAACTTTCATTTTTCACTTGACCAAAGGGCATATCTAATTCATGACTTTCATTTAATATTCAATTCATTTTCACAAACAAAACAAGCCGGGAACGACTGTATGATAAATGTTACAAAGCTATTATGTCAACAACCACAACACGTCCCATAAATGTATTAAAAATAGCCATTCGCATTGACTCTCATACAATGAATTTAAATAACTGGCTTGGTAATACAAGCCTGTTTTACAAAAGTATGTGGATATAAGACCAGAGGACAATAAGATCTGCCAAAATCACCATCCAGTGAGCCATAAACAGTGGTTGGACACATTCTGTTGTAGCTAAACCACTGCCATTTTCACATTGGCGAAGGTTCAAGCATATTACCGAACATTGTAAGTTGAGAAAACCAAAACTTACTTGACAGTCACACGTGTGGATAAGTCTTGAAGGTCTCCAGGGTGGAAAAGCTGGGCCTCTTTTAGTCCAAGCTTTGCACAGGCTTTTAAGAAGAGGCTGATGTTGTCCTGTCGACAGAGAATATGTGTCCACCTTGTGAGTTAGACAGCAGTCATATGGGAACTCTTTGGCACACGCAGTCCAGAAATCATTGCATCCAAAGTTCAGTCCAGTGAGCTGAAGCAGTGGGAGGAGATGAAAGAGGGCAGGTGGCAAATAAAAAGTGACACCACAAGAGCAAAGAATGAAGGCGGGGACATTGCTGATTGACCTGTGACAGTACCTGTGAGAGCAGGAGTTTGGCCTCGGGGCGGTGCAAAAACATGACAGAGAGTGTCTACGCCACTAGTCCCCTCCCCCGCACATGCACGGCAGTCACACACACACACACACACACACACACACACACACACACTCTCCCTTTTCACTCGCTCTAGACTAACCCAGACACAAACCTACATGTGCACATATAAACTCAAGCATACTCTCCCTTTTCACACCTAGAAACCGCCACTCAAATCTCTCAGCAGAATATTTGAGGAATCTTCAGGGCGGTGGATTATTTTGGAGACCGGGTTGCCATGAAACACAGGTGACTGAAACGACAAACTATTTCCCCCGAGCAAGTGTTAAAATCGCTTAGTGGGTGGGTAGGGAAATGTGTAAATATAAAGGAAACTTGAGATTGTGTGTGTGCATTCACATACACATCTGGTATGTTGATGAATGCAGACTATCACGGCACTGATGTTGTGTTGTGATATCATTTCAATTAGATTCGATCAGCCATCTGGATGAGATGTTCAGAGCGTGCAGCCCACCCTTTCCTGCTTTCCCGCTTGCTCTAAAATAATCACAGGGTGCTCTGGTCTATATTTAAACAGCAAACATGCTTATTAGCAGATGGCAATGAGGAGCTGCACTTCTGAATCACCTCCTTGCTTAAACTGTTAAATCCAGGTCTCACCCTGACACTGTGTGAGGGTCAAAGTATCTTTTGAAGCACGTTTCATCTGTGTTTAAAGGTAACAAATGCATGTCTGAAATGCAGTTCACAGAAAATGGATGTCAACAAGATGTCTCTTAGCGTTCTGTTCCTCAAACAAATTCTTGCACTCCAACAGCTTGATCAGTGTCCTTAACCTTTAACCTAGACTTATGCAACATATCTAAGATATGAAAAGATTCCGCTAGTCACCTGTTTACCTGAATACCTGAATGCTAAATGTCTTGGAGCAGGTGGCTAGGAACAAACAGACCTTTACATGGAATTTAAAATGACCTACAATTCCTTAACAGGACATGTAAATCAAACCATTAATAGGTGTTAATAATTTTGCACAGATAGCTTCGGGACAATGACATAATCACTGGCTGGAGTGTATCAGATACCTCTACCTACAACAATATTACCTTGCCACAGCAGAATACTTCAAATGTATAAAATTTAGGTGTAGTTATTAGGTTTCACACAACAAAACAGTTACAGGTTCAATCCCAGCTATATGTGACACTGAATCTATAACGTTTGTGTCCTTGAACAAGGGCCTAACCAAGGTTGCTACAATTAGCATACTGTACATGGATTTGGGTTAAAATTTCACACTTATAAAAAATGTATAACGTATTACTAAGTATAAATAAATAGACTACATACATTTATATGAACGTTTTAGTGAAAAGGATTTTGGCAAAAAGATTAATAACTACTGTATGCAAATAAGCAGAAATTAAAAATCGATGGGATAAATGAGTTAGCAAAGAAATAGCATCTGAAGATTGCATAGCTTTGGGTCAAACCAAACGCATAGTAAAAATTCCTTTAATTCACTTAAGCACATTTTAACATTCATTAGTTAGCATATCAGAATTCATCTCAAGAACCAAATAATGCAGACATAATGATGCAGAAAGAATCTTTAACTTTACAATCAGTGCACATAATCCTGTCAGAAATTCTAATTTAGTGATTACAGTCCTCTGACAAAACTATCAAGCCGCCTGTCAAACACTGTTTTGCGACTGCTGATTGGTTGATTGATTATGATTTAGGAATTTGGAGGTGTTGTATACCAAACACTCATATGTTATCCAGCAACGTGTTGCACAGGCATCACTGGTGATATATTTGCAATCCAAGGTATGTTAAAGTACATTTGTGTGAAAAGTGTGTCAGCATAGATTAAGTTCTCATATGAAACATGTTGTTTTCAGTAAACTATTATGGTGAACAGGGAATAATGTGCCAGCTCATTCAAAATTGAACAATTTCACATTATGGGTTTAATAAAAGTAAATAATAAAATATAAATGCTTAAATGCCCACTTTTAAGTGCTAACAAGCCTGGTGGCCTGTGGAAAATTCTATTCAAATAATCAGTTCTGCCAATTCTCCTTTCATAGTGGTGAGACTCGTTGCAAATATATCCATCCAGCTCAATTATGGGGGGTTTATGAAGGGCTACACTCTAAGGAGTCGTCTCTCTGCTAAACCTCAGGCCAAAGCTCTGCCAGAATGACTTTTCTAATGTGGCCGAACAGCGTGCCACACAAGTGTAGACTTCTTCTCTTCAAATTGTTAAAAAGAGGATCAGCTATCCAGGGAAACACAAGGGTAAACCACAGCTCCGGGTTTGATGGAACTATGGGAAAGTGATCCAGAGATCAGCCGAAGCCAAACCCTGAGTAGAGTTTAGCGATCCAAAGCCAGAGTCGCTACACAGTCCACAAAACCAGAGATTTCCGCTCTTGCACTAATGAGCCTTGATTTAACAAAATATAAATCCTCTGTATTAGAATGAAACTGTGTCGAACAAAAGCAAAGCAGCCAGAAGGAACAATAATGGCGCTGGTAAGATTTCAGAGCCTTGAATGAGCCTTTCATTCTGTGGAAAAACAGCTTTCATCAGTCATAAACATAGCTGGATAAGAGCATTGTGTTTTTTTTGCATCTTACGGTTTGCTGGGAGGTCAGAAACAGCTCTCTTAGGACAAAACTTTACAGGCTCAGCAGTATTTAGCAAAACTAAAATATACTCCAAACTATGTGTTTTTCTTTGCATGCCTTTGCTTATCCCTTGCCATGTAAGCCCTCAATTGTGAGTTTAGGCTGTGCTTGGTAGGTTTTGAGGTTGCAAGCATTTTATGGAAATACCACTGTGATGCTGTTGGACATGCAGATGCTTATCTAAGCTTTCCTGGGTCAAGAGTTTTAAAGGGCAATGGGAAATAAATGAGCATGTTTTGCATAGATTAGGCCAAAACAGCTTCAATAAAAACAGCTTAATTCAGGCCCATATCCAACTTGTCTATGCTCTTGAATTAAAAAAGTCCTCAAAAAGATTTGTTCTTGAAAGGATTGTTCTTGATGGAAAAAAAATCACAATGCTTACTGTTTGGAGGCAAATGATTCCTATTAAATACCAAGCATAAAGTAAATGATCAACCCTGTGCAATTCACACTTAACACCCATGTACATGTAAACTGTTTGGTAAATCATTCAAAATTCTTTGTAAGAGTTAAGGTTCTTAGCCAAGGTGAAATACTACAGCACAAATAATATATGCATGTCAAAGTACAAATAATAATAATAACGATAAAAAAAAAAAAAATAAATAAAAAAAATAAACTTACCAGGCCAGCAATAGGTGTGGATAATCTGTTTAGCTTCTTGACGACGCCAGGTCTGATCTTGTTGATCAGACTAGAAAGAGAAAAACAGAGCTAAAGTCAACACAAACAATTATATCATGTGTCGGTTGCCAGTTTATGGCTTCCTTTAATTCTGACCATCTGGCTTCAGTTTACAAAGCCATCTAATGCCCTGAAGAAAATACAAACAACTCTCTGTGGAAACAGACATCAGTCAATAGCCTCTAAGTAGGCTAAGTCTAGTTTTTTTGTGAAAAACTGGTTTGGAGAAATAAACATTAAACATTGAAAATAAAAAGGTGTGCAGCTGATAGCTAACAAGGAGTGATGAGCATGAAATATAATATGTGAGAAACTTGATTTCTGGCTGTTTTGGTTATGTGTAATAAAGGGAGAGACAGCCATTAACATTTTAATGAATTGTCTCATACAGTGTATCTACTCTCATTTAGTGATGTAAAATAACTTGACTTTCTTTCTTTAACCACAGAAGAAAGTCAGTCATACAGGTTTGGAACAACATAAGGGTGAGTAAATGATGACAGAATTTACATTTTTAGGTGAACTCTTTAAGCAAATAACATAGCTGCAATTTTTCTAAACAATATGTAGTGCTGGCAATATAAATAATATCCTCCCTGTTTGTGATCTTTAAAACAGTAAAAATGTGTATCCTGTGCAACCACTGAAAAACCTGTTCACACATCTATGGACTCTTTAAGTTCAAGTCAAGACTTTGCTATGTCGACCCCAGCGGTAGTTTCACAGGAGTCTTTGTTTAGACGTGAGATCCAGAGTGACAGTATCCTCAGGTAATGTGTGCATTTGTCCACTCATGTGGAAATGGCAAAGCTAATAGCTTAGTACAGACTGAAAGAAAGCAGCATGAGAGTGCAGGAGCAGGACGGTGAGATTCTGCACTGGACTGTGGTAATTAGTCTGCTGAGTCACTCTACTGACACCAGCATGTCAGACTGGCCCACGCACTGCCCCAGAACCATCCAGTCAGGTTCCGAAATGTGCTGAAATCCCTGAGCTTGCAGCATGTCACACCCAGTCCACCGAACCCAACGCTCTCTCTACATAAACAGCACAACAGAGCTGCTGTAGAAGAGGCCTGAGTGCCGCCAATCCCTGTTTGCCTGCACTCTGCCCTGCTCAGGTTTCTGAACCCTGCTAGAGTAGCTGGCACTATGGATCACCTCTTCCCAGCTGTCCTTTTAAATGCTCTGCCATCCGTGTTGTTTTCCTCTGCTGGGCTTACTAATGCTTCCTGGGATGGAACAGAGTGCGACTGTGGCAGCCGGGTACAAATTATGTGTTTTAAAAATAGCTGTATGGCATAATGCACATTAAATGACACACAGCTTAGATGCAAATTCCAAATAAAAAAGTTCAGGTTAGCTTGCATCACATTTCAGCCAACAGGTAAAATATTGTTACAGAGTATAATAGAAAAGTAGTTAAAAGGATAGGTCGTCCAACATACAGTAAGCTCAATGGAAAAATGTGCCTGTACCTCTACTTTTGCAAATAAAAAAAATAAAAAATAAAAAAATCCTTTTCACACAAATTATGATTACATGGGGCAGATTATAAATTTTCAAGACTTATTTTCATTCAGTTCCTTGTACAACACTATATTATGACCTCAAACACAGTGCATAATTTGCAAACAAATTCACTTTGACATTTACATCTCTATATGTTTAGCTTTTCTGACATAGTAAACTTGCTCGGTAGCTCCCCTGGTACAGCACTGCATTTGCGATGTGGAGTATGAGTTTAATGAAACACGAGTCATGCTAAAAAGCTCAAAGACTTATACAAGCAAGCTAAAAGCTGGTATGGTTGCATCAGCAAATATGTTTTTATCTCACACTTGCTTTTAAAAACACTATCAATTAGTTTTAGGATTGGGTTTGGTGTACATTATTTTCAAAAGCGATATAGCATTAACCTTTTAGTGCCACTCAGCAGACATTTCATTTCTGAATTTCTGAAAACAACAACTAACAAAATAAAATGTTGCCAGATTTCACCTTCACCTGCCTGGGTTGGATAGTTTAAAAGCCCAAATTCAAAAATTAATGTCCAAATCCATATGATTGTTTTCTTCTACAAAACACAAAGGAAGATATTTTGAAGAATGTTTTAACTGTTTTTGTTTATACAATGAAAGTCAATGAGGTCGAAAAATTACAAGAAACTGTAAAAAGTTAGCATTATTGATGTATCGTATTAGATTTAGGCATGCATATCCATGAGATGATCGATGTTTTGATTTGATTTGATATTGAATAACCCCTTAGTTTTTGCTCTTTACATCATAAAAAAGGATCTTTTTGATCAAGGATACTAGAGTTGTATAGATTACTTTTGTTACATTTATGCACTTTTTGGAGCTCAAAACTTTGGACCCCATTGACTTCTACAGTATGGACAAAAACAGCCGAAACATTCCTCAAAATACCTTTTTTTTTTGTTCCACAGAAGAAAGAAATCATACAGGTTTGGAAGAACATGAGGATGAGAAAATGATAACAGAATTTGTATTTTTGGGTTAACCGTCCATTTAAGACTGATCACACTATATTATGTTAGTGTGCATGAAGCAGTTAAGCAATAGTTATTATTAAAAGCAATTACAAAAGGTATAGCAGAAATCTTTTCATGCATGAAACAAGAAAACCATAGTAAAAATGAGAGAAGTAAAAACAGCTTTACTTACTCACACAACAGAAGTCCATTCTCCAGAGAACTCCGGAAATTACTGCTCACAAACTTCTTCTTAGTGACTGCCTGCGAGACGAGGACAAACACAGGAAGCACTAAGAACCAGTAAGTGGGAAGGTTATGTCCAGGGAAAGGAAAGTTGTTCTTCCAAGCGGCAAGTCCAAGAGACTAACACACCAGTACAACAACACAGCCTCTTTTGGAGAATCTTGGGTTATTCAGTAATCAGGGCTGGAGCCCAGCGGCCAAACCACAGAGAACGAGAGCATCTGGAGGAATGTCACAGTTCTACACACAGTTTCATGCCTTTCCAATGATCTCAAGCTACTCCTGCAGGACACAGAGGGCAGCCAGCCCATTGTTTTTGCTCACACACAGGGAAGCATTTATGTTGTGTTTATACCCTCAGACTACACTGTTACAATGTGAGCCCTGTTGCTCCACACCTCATATAACATAATCTATGAGTACAGCCTTTTTTCCGAATACAAATGTTTTCAATTTCCAAGTTTGAACGCCAGTAAAAACAGAGTTGCTCATTTAGCAAGTATGTTTTATAATATGCTACTGGTCTAGAAAACATCACATTTAAGAAAACCTCAGCTAACTACAAGAAAATCAGGCCATAGAGAAATCTTAAGATGTCAATAAAGCATAACCACTTATTAATAACATGAAGTCTGTTGTTTTGAATAGCACTCTTAAGCTGCTTTTACTTGGCTGTCGCTCAGAAGCATGGCATGCATTCAGAGGGTGTGGAGAGCCTTACATGTAAAAGGTCACTGGTTATGTTGAGATCAGTATTGACTGTGAGATTTGAACCGCAACTGTTCTCTTTTAGAAGCAGAACTTCAAAGGACACTTTCTATGTCTGCTGAACAAAACAAGGACAAAAATAATGTGAGGACAAATACTATGATCCTCGTACTAGATCAAGTTACAAAGCAAATTAAGGTAGATTATCTCAACAGGAATTTTGTATCCCCTGTCACACTGATCTAAATCTTTCAAAATCGAGATAACTAATAAGTTCTTCTAATACAGCCAAAAAAACATCCATACTAGAATACATATCATCAAATAATATTAAAGATCAAGTTATTTGGCACAAAATGACAAATGACTTCCTGTACCCTTCATGTAGTTTTATGTAACCATTACAAACCCTCACAGATATGGAGTGTGAAGAGATAAGAGGTTAATCATATGGAGCACATTTACACAGCATGGCGTAGTAAACATCAGAGTTCAATGACATGAAATCCTGACCCCTGCTGTTCCTGTCATTGTAATGTCCATGATGGCTTTTAGTTTTTAAATAGATCTCTGTAGCATGTGAAGAACAATTTGAGAGCTTCAACAAATCACTTTGCACAAAACCAATAAACAAATAACTAGCAAACAAACAAACAAACATAAAATAAATAGCATTGCTGCAATCCACTATAATTTAAGGGGTGGGAGATACTATTTAGTACTATTACATTTAAAAGAATATACTATTGTAAAACAAAAAATAGATTTATTTGAAATAAGAATTATTTATTTAGCAATAATGCATTAAATATCACGGTTTCTACATAAATAATCATGCAAAAACCAGCTCAACTGTTTTCAACATTGATAATAATAAGAAATGTTTCTTGAGCACTAATTCAGCAAATTGCAATGATTTATGACGGATCATTTGACACTGAAAAATGCCTACTGAAAATGTAGCTTTACCATCACTGGACTAAATTACATTTTTAAATATATTAGAATTAGAATATATTAGAAATGTTTAATAATGTTTCACTATATTATTGTTTTGATTAATGTATTTTGATCACATAAATGCAGCCTTTAAAAAAAAACACACATTTAAGATTCCAAAAAGTTAAAAATTAAACCATTTCACATCTACCACCAACAACTCTACCCCCTCAAAAAGAAGAATTCAATACAAATTATTTGTTCTCTAACCTCACATTGTGATCAGACTGATTTAAATAGCAGGTTTCGATGATGTAAGGAGCACTAATTCAGCAAATTGCAATGATTTATGACGGATCATTTGACACTGAAAAATGCCTACTGAAAATGTAGCTTTACCATCACTGGACTAAATTACATTTTTAAATATATTAGAATTAGAATATATTAGAAATGTTTAATAATGTTTCACTATATTATTGTTTTGATTAATGTATTTTGATCACATAAATGCAGCCTTTAAAAAAAAACACACATTTAAGATTCCAAAAAGTTAAAAATTAAACCATTTCACATCTACCACCAACAACTCTACCCCCTCAAAAAGAAGAATTCAATACAAATTATTTGTTCTCTAACCTCACATTGTGATCAGACTGATTTAAATAGCAGGTTTCGATGATGTAAGACATGATTCTTATTCAGCTGCACTTTTGTACACAGCTATTGTTCATTCATGAAGGAGCAGTGAGGCATTCCAAGCTGCTTGGACACACGGAATGCTGCACATCGTTAATTGTGCCAAAGTGCTTTAATCCCTTTGACCAAGCAGGGTTTGTTGAACATGAAGAAATATTGAAAATGATCTTGGGTCATTTTAGGCTAAAAAGAAGAACCAGGATAACTGATAGATGTTTTGTTCAAATCTTTTTTTCTTTTCAAGAAATGTTTTTTTTTTTTTTTTAAACTTCTCAAAAATGTATAAACTTAAACTAAAAAAAACGTAAAATTGGATGACACACAATTACCTCAACTTTAATAACCATTCAATGATCATCAGTAAAATGAAGTGAGATCAAATATTTCAGTTATAAATGTATAATAAATGTACTTTAAACGGCTTTTTAAGTATTTAATATTATTTCACAACAAGAATGACTTGGCCCCAGTTGCCAACTTTCTACTCTTAGATATACCAAGCAACTTCAGAAGGGTGGCTAATTTTGGGTTTGACTTTAACAAGCTGAGAACTACCCAAGAGGAAAAACAGGAATGTCTCTGCCCACAGACCGGGTGCCTGGTGCAAGAATGAGCACATGTGACAAACTCCAGATCATTCAGCTGACTATAACACCCCACATACTCTAACACTCAGACTCCAGCACTGCTCAGTGCGCCCTCACGCCTGACAGCCCGTTAGTCATTCAGATCGGACGCTAAGCGGCACATCACCTTCCTTTGCAGGGGAGCAATCGGCTTGGGGTCAAACTGCCCTGCCAAGGTCCACCGCCTGTGACAATGCACCAGTGTGCATGTGTGAGAGACTGATGTCACACTGAAAGCATTCAGATTCACCCCTCATGAATTAAGAACAATATTTGTTCAGTTACAGCCAGTGCTTTGGCCCTGCCATCACCCGCAGAGAAGGGAATTCACAAGGATAGGAAAGTCCTAATCATTTGTGCCTTAGACTAAGTGCGTTCCAGAGGGTTTAGTGGAATAAGCTGACTAAAGCGTGTGAAAATATTTGCAGGACTACTTGGTTTTGCCACAGTGAGCTTGACGGAAAAAGAAAATAGATCAGTGCTTTAAAGGGATAGTCCACTCAAAAATTTAATTCTGCCATCATTTACTTTCCATCGTTCCAAACTTGCAGGACTTTCTTTCTTCTGTGGAAAAAAAAAAGAAAAAAAAGAAAAGATATTTTGACAATGTTGGTAACTAAACAATTTTGGGTCCCACTGACTTCAACTGTATGGACAAAATAATGCAACAGAAGTCCAAAACTGTTTGGCTACCAACATTTTACAGTATATCTTTTATGTCCCACAGTAGAATGCAAGTTATTTCGGTTCGTAATGACATGAAGTCATTAAATCATCATTTACATTTTTGGGTGAATTATCCCATGCTTTGCAATGTTATTGGAATAAGATTAAACAATGCATTTTACTGTCCTCATGACAATCAAAAATGTGGTTGTTGATTGTGGACAAGACAATAATAAATATTAATCGAACTAAAAATATATAAATAATAAAGATAATCATTATTACAGTGTTCAAAGAAACAAATAATCAAAATAAATTGACGTTTTGACAATGATATAAAGTGTGACAGGGTAAGCTACTAGAAATGTTACACTAATTGTATCCTTTATTTAGGTTAAATAAATATCCACATAAATACACATTTAATGATCTTTACTGCAAACACACACACACACACACACACACACACACACACAAAAAACTACCAATGCAGCGTTTAGCAGAAGTAAATGACAAGAAGCTGAAAAGCAAAAGGCGAGGCTGAACGCATCACAAATATGAGCACTTATGATAATTATCTAAACATACTTTTAATAATACTTATTACAATTTTGTAGGCTAGCATATGTTGTATTTTTTATTTTGCCAGGTTTTATAAACAGGAATTCAACAGGTCTGTGTATATTCAGCACGAGTTAATGAATCGAATCAGTACTACTTTTTCATTTTGGTTACCTCATAATTTGGAAGTATCAAGTGTCGTTTCCCTGAACTATCTTTATCTAAATGAGAGTAGGTGTGAAAGTTCTTACCTCAATCCATCTCTGTGCTTCTGAGTAAGCAGCCTCACAACACACTGAAGACTGCGGTCGCCACTCCATCGCCGGCCGTTAGTGCGCTTCTTGTTGAGGCTGTAGGAAACAGGCGTCTACGCTGCAAAAACGCGAGCAAGACGCGCGTATGGTTAAAACGCGAGCGTTCAGTTCTGCCGCGTCGCTTGAATAATTTTAAGACTATAAATGTTTTCTTAGAAAATTAAGTCAGCAGGTAAACGCTTTTCGTATTCGACTACCAGCATCACAACTATCACCGAGTCACAACTTAAACGAGCAAAGACCTTAAAAAAGCCGTAAACGACGCAGGGTAAAACTTAAATCTCCGCTTGCTCCTGAGAAACTTTAGAGTTGCGTTGTGTACTTTATACGCCCCCTAGTGCGTCAAGATACACACCTAAACTACTGTCAGGTTACATTACAGGTGCCGAGGGCACAATAAAGCGCATTTGGTGAAAAAAAACAAGCACGGAGTCTGTAGATTTAGTTAAATACGTGTTTACAAGTACTGATGCAGGTCAGATGGTATTCAAATTGTAAAGTGCATGTAAGCATAGATTGACGACTTTTAAAGCTAAATACAAGACGGTTTTGATTTAATGTTTTTTAATCACTATCCAATTGAAATACTTCATTTTTGCTTAATTTATTATTTACATTTTTTTCGAGTGTGCAACTACTGTTGTAAATCTGTAAATAAGGGATAGATTTCTGTCAGCTGGTTAATAGGACAAAATTATTTTAACTAAATTATTTATGTGAGAATACAAAGACCATGCAGTGTCCAGGAACACCGACCCAATCAAACTATCAGCATTTATTTCGCAATAATAACCAGCTGACCGTACATTATCAACGTATTATAAGGTTATTTACCAAATAATTCACTAAAAAAGAAAGAAAGAAGGAAAGTAAGATCACAGCTACAGTACGTAAGCAATGCTTTCCTGATGTTCCCTGGACAACAGTCATTATTCATTCCACATGCTGCAACTGACCAATCAGAATTAAGTATTCAAGAAGCGGCATACTCTAAATAATACAGTGTACAAAAAATGTAATATTTATCTTATATATAACTATACTCCATATCTTAAAATCATATAAATCTGAATTGATTATTTTTGTTTACAAATTTAATTTATTTTTTAAAGAACATTGCTGTTTTGAAGGGGAAAAATGATGCACATTAATCATAGCTTGAGTATTCAGGGAGTGAACTGTTGTCACTCATAATACAGCAATGAGGTCACCATGAGATGAAAACATTTGTTCTTTATTGTTTTAGTTTCATCTGAATTTTTGCTGTATTCTTGAGAAAACGGTATTTAGAAGTAGGGCACCATATGCAATGACACATTGGCACACTCACACACTTCTGTTAAAAGAGCATTTTTGTGTCAAAATATAAGTCTATATATTCATCAGAACTTTTATTTTAAATTGATCTTTTCTGGCAGAAAAAAAGAACACCATCATTAGATGAATTAATATTAACATCAAGAAAACAGATTTTAAACGGAGCTCCTGGGGATCACGTGCCATGCATTTCTTTTATAATTTTGGAGAAATTAACAAACATTATTTCAATCAGAGAGTTGTAAACATTCAGATACAACATTTTGTGCATGTACACTTTTTATTATTAGCTAATTTGCTTCTCATTTGCTTTGTCGGTTATGGTCAAAACCTTTAACAAACTTTTCTTATTCAAAGTCAAAATTGAACCTATAAAGGTTTAAAGTATTCAGCACTTCTGAATGATTGGCAGTTTTTTCTCTTGGAAAATTTATGCTTTGGAAAGAGCCACCACAGTGAAACGGAGCTCCTGGGGATCACGTGCCATGAACTTCTTGCAGACCTCTGCAGAATCCTGTAGATCAGGCAAAAACAGAATCAAATGTATAAAACCGAACCCCCAATCCACAACAATAACTATGTTTACATGCAATTAAATAATCGGATTGATGGCTCAATCTGACTGAAATGCTTTCATGTAAACACCCCAATCGATCCGACTGAGCTCAATCACAATGAAATTTCGATCGGATTGAAAGGGGCAGTACAGACATGTAAACACTTGGTTGGATTGAAAACCGAAACTAGAAAGTACATGCGCAATGACATAAAAATGGTGTAATGCTGTATGATGCATGGAAAGAGCCGTTGTTTTTGTAGAATGAAGTGTCATAATTGACTGTCATGTTATTCTAAAATTCTCCTTCCACTTATTGTCTGTGAAGTGGAGCAGAACAATGTCCCATCAGTCCTCACTTCATACTCTCATCCACAGATGGCTTGTTTTGGCAATGGGAATTTGTGAGTTTACTGCTTGATAAATATAAGCAGCACGGCAAAAATCTTCATGTGATCTTTGCCTCCTAATTAGGACCAGAAACAGATAGATTCTAACTCTGCTCTTTAAAACAAAGAAAAGAAGCGATGTTAGAAGCATAGTATGTGCAAACAGCGGGAAAGTGTATATTGCCGCAGTGTGCACATATCAAAAGATGAAATTCAATGTGAAGCTTGTGACATATAAACGTGCACATCAACCCAATCACTTTATTTAACGTTCATGTAAACACTACATTCAGATTCCTCAATCAGAATGATTTCATTCCAATTGAAACAAAAGGTGTCCATGAAAATGTAGCTAATGTCTACAAACAAAACAAGTTGCAAATATACATTCTTTGCTAGAGATAATCTATACAGTACATCTATAGCCCATGACTGAGAAAAATCCCACCTCAAGAAACGTGTCCTCTGTGGTTTCCCCATGAACAATTGGAAAAGGTTTGCGTCCATCTGAAACACATGAACATAATATGAACACCAGTAATATCTCCCTTCACAATGTTGCACATAATAATTACGTATAAAGTGAAAAGTGACATGACATGTGGCCAAGTATGGTGACCCATACTTGGAATTAGTGCTCTGCATTTAACCCATCCAAAGTGCACACACACAGCAGTGAACACACATACACCGTGAACACACACCCGAAGCAGTGGGCAGCCATTTATGCTGCGGCGCCCGGGAAGCAGTTGGGGGTTCAGTGCCTTGCTCAAGGGCACCTCAGTCGTGGTATTGAAGTTGGAAGAGAGCGCTGTACATTCACTCCCCTCACCTACAATCCCTGCCGGTACGAGACTCGAACCCACAACCTTTGGGTTACGAGTCCGACTCTCTAACCATTAGGCCACGACTTCCCCCTATAGGTGTTGATACTGTACATCAAATTTTGAGTGTAGAACTGACAAGCAACTAAAACAATGACAACATTCATCATGTAAATTAAGTTTACCTACCCAGTTCATATAAATGTCCTTCATAATTTACAAAGGCAATAAAATGCAAATCCACTTTTTCATCTAAGCTTGGAGCCTATAAGTGTGAGCAGAGTAAAGTTAGCATGTTAGAATTTTTCTATGACACTGGAACAGCCATAAAAAAGCAGAACTGAGATCCAACACAATGAGAATACTAAAGTTCTCAGAGCCAGAGAAGAGCCAAAGAAGGTCATTAAGAATTAAGAGAGCATCTAAGTCCTGTGGAAAGAAGTGAAACCAGATTGGAAAGGTCTTAAAGGTTATACTGTGTAGATGTGACTGCAGCAATAATTCTTATTTTAGTTCTAAATCTAATTTCATTCTAAATCTGCAGTCGCCGAGTACACAGTTGATTGAGGAAAAAAAAGTAGGGCAAGACTTTTTGGTATAATTTTAATTGGATCGTTGTATTTTTCTGCAATCTCATGCAAGTAACAGGTTGCCGGAGGCGATGTATTATTGTCCCGTCCTCATGTCCATGCACACATCATCAGAGATGTCATTGCGAAGGTGAGAAGTTTTTGCTTTTGATTAAAAACTACAAGAGAACATGAAATAATGTGCATGGATAAATAATTTCGAACAAATGTATTTATATTTAAAGTCATTCTATTTTTTTTTTTATAAAAATTGTCAAGTTTTTGTGACTTAAAAAAAAAAAAAAATCTGCATCAGACAAACCAGATATGCAAAATCTATTGTTAATTTACGGGTCCAGAATTAATGATTAAAAAAATAAGCTGGGCCTCTTTGAATCTATTTGTTTTTTTGTTTTGTTTTTTAAGAAACTGTGAATCAAGAACTAACAGTGCAATATTTTCAACATGGTCCAATTCTCAAAATTCTGCTACTTCAACATTAACAAAACAACACCACATGGAAAGTTCATCAGTGGGATGAAACTTCAAAATGTGTGCAAATACTTGGTATTGTTTTGAATGCTGTGTTAGCAACTACTCTGTATTTAGCAAATACCAACCTCTGTTTGTCCTTCCTGAGCACTTGACTCATGTGTTACTCGGATACTCTGAAATCATAAAAATATCAGTACCATGTATAAAAGTTTAGTTCAGTTAATTCCTTCAGAGGCCATTCAGTTGCAACAAAAACATATTTTATCACCTCATCTTTTTCAAGGAAAGCTGCCTTTTCTTCTGGGCTCATCTTTGCAGACTGCAGTAAAAATGCCTGAAGTGGTGAATTGGGCTCTGTAAAAAAAGAATGTCATGAACATACCACAAACAAGTACACTGTGAACTTTACACAAATTAACTAACTAATATTTTTTAAAACGGGAAATCACTCCAAAAAAAAAAGAAAACAAAAAAGATCAACACTGATACTTACCAAACTCCAGATGCCTTTGATTGTTTGCCACAGCATGAATCAGCCCTATTGTACCACAAGCATTGCCGATGGTTTGTTTCATGAAGTACACATCTGAGGACACCGCTTGTCCTTGTGCCTTAATTTTTGCCTCCTCCTCCTGTCTAAAGGTTTCATACTACATTGACGAAAAGAATATTACTAAAATGCAATCTACAGTACAGATAACGCACTGTAAAATAATAATAATAATAATTTACAAGAATGACAAAGATGCTTTATTTATCTGACTTAATATGGTATAAAGAATTTATACTTTTTTTTTTTTTTTTTTTTTTAAAGTTGGTTACATAAAACAAAGAATTAGACTAAAAAGAATTAGTCTAATTTAATAATAATAATAAAAAAAAATACAACTAAGTACCCCTAGTCTTAACATAGACACTAAGTTTATGCAACTGGCCACAGGTTTGCATGAACTAATACAATTTTTGTCACATCCTGTGTCATGCTGAAACCTAACCACCCTCATTAAAAAAAAAAAAAAACACATTCACAAGTTTTTGAACTCTTGTTGTCACTAACACTAATTACATAACCACACAATGATTATTGATAGATTATCACTTCAAACTAACTGAACAAAATGCTCAAATCATCATAAATATTATTAGAAGTGTTGGTGCTGCAAATTCAGTTATTTCATTTTATTTTGGGTCATGGTGACGAGAGCAACTCAAGATTCTGTTCCATTTTATTAGTCTTTCCTGTTCCATTTTATTTAGACCAAATAGTCAAATAATACACCCCTTTAAAATACATATTAAAAGGGAATTACCATATCACGTCAAATAGAGAAAGAGCCCAGCATAAAAAAATAATAAAAAAACGATACAACTATGATTTGGTATAATTTGCAAGCTTAGTTGATGCCAGCAACAACTGTATCCAGTTGCAACAGGTGATGTTTAAATCTCAATTTCTAAAAAATTGACCCTTATGACTGGTTTTGTGGTCCAGGGTCACAAAATACAGAGCTTATTTGCTAACATGGAGTCATTATGGGTGCAAACTGAAGTCATACCTTCTCTGTTATAGGGAAGAGCAAAAGTACAGCACAAACAGGCCTTGGCACCAAACTGAGAACTTCAGCTTCCAAACCGTACACATCCCCAAACTGCCAGGTGGGTACCAAGCCAAGTTGCCGTAAAAACTTAACAAAGGTATAACACAATACATACATATTAAAAACAAATCATATATCATAAGACTAGTAAAGAGGTTAGAAGTGTATGGTGAGAGACACGTGACAAGGGCCTACGCATTCCAGAAGCGTTTCTATTTAAATATATCAATAATAAACTAAAGTGAAACATAAAATACATCTCGCATTACTTCCAATACCATAAAATTAAAAACAAGATATCAAGCGCAGTATTGCTGATAAACATAATAAATCAAAGCTTATGAAATTAGCTTTAAAACAGACGTGCTTTAATAAACCTGATTCATTCATTTGGCACAAGTTTTGAATCCTAGACACACCCAGATAGTCGAGACCTCTACTCACTTGGTTCATAACCTGAAAAGCAGACACAGAACACAAAACAGTATCATATAAAATATGATGTCAAAGACATGAGCTGCAGCTTACCGTTCCTGCTAAAAGCTGCCTATGAAAAAATGAACCGATGAACGATATAAAATTGAATTAACGACAAAAAATCGTGAGATAGTGAGAAATTCATACCTCTGGGTTGGCTTCCAGTGGTAACCAGCGCTGGCCCTCCATCTCAGATTAAGCCCTGTCTGATATCCTAAATAAAAAAGATTTGACAGCTGAGCTGAGGAGGAAGTTCAATGGAATATGTGCGCGCGGGTGTGTGAACTCAGCCACTGGCCTGATATTACACCGGAAATACAGGCTCAAATCCCAAAATAAAAGGCATCGCTTACTTGCAATGATCTTCTTCTTGGTTTTATGGCGAGTTGCAATCTTTGTGCATATCGCCTATTGCAATGATAATCAGGGAAGCGGTCTCTTAAAGTAGGGACGATGTGTTGTCATATTCGTGTTGTTTTGTATCATGAAGGTCTTGGATGCTCTTACCACGTTTAAATGCACATAATGTTTCGATTAAAGTCGATTTTGTGTTTAAGCTTTTATTCTGAAATACACCTAATCTTCTATATTTGTGTTCTGTAATTATGTTAGCCTTTATTTGTTTCTTATTATTCTTTATAACGTTACTTGTTTATGTTATGTTATTAATTTCATGACATTTTCCAGGTCCGTCGAGGCTCTCATGCTAAAGCTTGTCACGTTACAGATTTAGTCCAGTAGGTGGCGATACGTAAACAGTTGATTCTACAAACGCTATTAACAGCAAGAGAAGAAGAATTTTAAGATTCCGCGGAAATGTTTAGTTTTAAATAAGTATAAACCGATTTCATTTGTATGCTCATTATTTGTTATCTGAGTAGAAATGCATTTTAACAAGTATAAAGATAAACATAATCAAGAGTCGAATTTGTCGTCTTCTTTTATTAATGGTGAGTAGTCGGAATATAGATTCATTATTGTTAACGGTTTTATTCCCCCGTGGTATTATCAGTCATGTTTTTATTACAGCTCCCAATGATAAAACGCTGGTAATGGCGTCTAAAGAGAAGAAGGAAAACATAAGAATTGGCAAACAGACGGCAACAGTGTACGCAGCAAAGATAAAGACCAAAATACACAGTAAGAAATGCTAAACAGATTCAGTTGTCTGCATTACTGATGTAGCTTGTGCTCTTATATGTTAGGAGTTGACCAATGACAATAAATGGACCTTTTTTATCTCTTAGATACCTCATCATTCTTCAAGCTTTCTTTGAAAAGCAACAACAAGGCTCTGGCTCTGGCTCTTGTTGCTCAGAAGCAGAAGAGCAGAGAGCTGGAGGCAGAGGTGGTGCGACTGAGGAGAGATGCGCAGACAACTCATTTTGATCTTGCTCATCAGCGTCATAAAAACAAACAACTGGTGAGTCTGTGACAGTGAAAATCAGTTATATGGCTGTATTTATATACTGTACACTTGTACAGACATAAGTCAAGATTCACTCTAGATTTGGAAAACATTGAGCTTGTGCTTGACTTTAAAAACAAAGAACATACATTCTATTTCATACCAGTATATGTAGTTAACGTAGGTTTTTTTTGTTGTTGCTGTCTCTAGTTTGGAATTATACGAGAGTTTTATGACTCTTCCCTAAACTGGATGACAAAGGCAGTTGATATTTTTTGTAATGAGGAGGTAAGCAATCAATGTATTTGTCTAATAATTCAATAATATGGTTATTTTTGTTGTTGTGGTGGTGGTGGTGGTTGTTGTTAATAATAAGAATAATCAGCATAATAATAATTATCAGAACTTCAGCCAAGCTTCTGTGATTGTTCACATATAGCTATTTGTTAGATAGATACAATATTATTAATAAATATTTTTATTATAATTCATATTAAAGCTAATTATTATTTTAAAGGATCCAGACAATATGGACTCGGAAGACAAGACCAGTGAAGGTATGAAAACAATTTGTAGCTGTTTATTGTACACAAGGGATAGTTCACCAAAAAGGGAAAATTCTTTCATTAATTACTCTCCCTTGTGTTGTTCCAAACCCATAACCTTTGTTCATGTTCTGAACACAAATTTGTTCATGTTCAGAACCAAGCTTTCTGACTTTGAAATTGTTGAATAAAGTAATTATTTTTGTTTTCTTTGTGCCCAAAAAGCAATCTCATAGCTTCATAACATTACGTTTGAACCACTGATGTCACATGGACTATTTTAACGACGTACTTACTACCTTTCTGTGCCTTGAACGTGTCCGTTGCGTTGCTGTCTATTTAGGGTCAGAAAGCTCTCCGATTTCATCAAAAATATCTAATTTGTGTTCTGAAGATAAACAAAGGGCTTAGGGAATTTTTATTTTTGGGTGAACTATCTCTTTAAGAATGTCAGTCAAGTTTAGTTAAGTTGGAATGATTGGCACTGTTATGTCAACTCATAGAAATTAAGCTAATATTAATTTCTTTGTACATTACTGCTAACAAAATGAGTCTCTTGATGCTGTATTTAAATTTGTGATTTATTTTTCAGACCAAATCATTGAAATGGGAGAGGTTCAGAGTTTGCAAGACAGACCTTTGTGTCCACAGCAGCATCATGTTCAGTCTAAACCAGTGAATTCAGCCGGTGATGCTCCCAGCCAAGAGAGAGATAGTTCAGCACAGCAAAACACCATATATGACTCTGAAATGGAGATGACCATTAGTGATAGTGCTGCTGAAATAGTAACAGTTGAAACAAATGCCAGAAAAACCTCTAGAGTTACAGAAGAACACCAGGAAAAGAAGGATGTGTGTCTATCAGAAAAAGGTAGTGAGTTTATATCTGCGAAGGAAGACTCACCAGTTGAATTTAGTAGATTAGAATATACATCAGCTGTGCCAAAAGAGATGACTGCTGTCACACAGCAGTGCTCTCCCACTGTTCAGAGAGAGGTGGAGAATGGGCAGCAAATGGACTCAATAACTGCACGCAGGAAGACTCACGTCACCTCTCGTACTAAAAGTAGCAGACGCACATGTAAACTGAACGAATCAAATCCAGATCCAAGAAAAACGTACCTGATCTCCCAAGATCCTCATGACATTTTTAATGACTGTTTTAGTGATGCTGAGCTTCAGAATTCTGAAAGAAGCAAGGCAATGCCTTCACATGGAAATATTTCAAATAAAGCTGCTAAAAGCAAAGCTAAAGAGTCCCATGCTACCCGGGAAACCAGGAGAACAATTATAGATCAAGTTGAGCTAAGACCTCAGAAGAGCAGGAAGACCAAAGTCTTGTCCCTTATGATGGATCACAGTTTATCGGATATGCATGAAAATGTTCAATCTGCCAGTACTTTATGCCCAGAGGCTGCTTGTACGGATGTCCATGTCGGTGAGACCGCAGTTCAAAAACATAAAAACAAAACTCCAGCATACCCTCTTCCTCAGTCTGAAAAGTGCAAGACACAGAAAAACAGAGGAACATTTGCGATACAGGCAAGTCGATCATTAATCAACAGGAATTCATTTTTGAATGAAACCAATATATTAGAAGATCCCAACAGACTGGAAGGTTTACAGGAAGTAATATCAGAAACCCAAATGACACCTCTCAGTATTGGTTCAGATAATGTTGCACAACAGCACAAGGAGCCAGAGCATGATTTTCATGAGATACTGACAGAAAACACCTATCATCCCAAATGTTCACAAGATGTGAATGCCAGCCTTGTACAGGAACCCTCTGAATTTATGTCATCAGTGGCTGGCAAAGCCAAAAAACACAGAAAAGAGGGGGCAGATAAAATAAAAAATAACGCAGCGGCTGCACCAAGAGAAAAACCCAAAGCATTAACAAAGAAACAAAACCGTTGTGCTGTGAGTGTGGATGAAACTGTGTTGACAAAAAGGCAAGATGAGACTGATCTTCAGAATGGAGCAGGATGCAGGTCTTTGTCTAATACTTTACAGCTACCAGTAATATCTCATTGCTCAGCCTCAAAGGAGGACCTCAGGGATGAACATAATGCTGAAACCCTTGAAATAAGTTCCCCTTCCTCTGTTGACGAGCTAGATCAGACTGACCATATCAACGTGGACTCTCTTTGCATAAATCTGGATCAAACCAACCAAGCACTTGAGGGCAGGTGCAGGAAAACATACGTTGTTTCATCTTGTGATGAATCACCCCTTAAGGAAAAGACTGACAGTGGGGCTTCCAGCGACATTTCTGAACATGATCTTTTTACTAATGAAACGGATAATGTTTCACCTGTTATGAACAGAAGCATGTTTGTCATGGAAAAATACAATGTGACGTCAGATGGTTTTAGTGGACACACAAAAGACCTTCAATTCACAGAAGAGAGGCCTCCCTGGGAGACCCTTGATGGTTACACTGAAGCACTCTTAGATGAAAGCTCTGCCCACAGCCCTCAACCAGAGACCCGCTGTCAAACTATGAACATTTACCAGGACCAGGACTCAGACTTGAGGCACCAAGCTCCAGGTAAACCTTATGAATAAGTCTAAATTATTTGCCAATGTTTGTATTTTTAAGGAGGAACAATAATACATATGTGGCCATCGACCACAAAACCAGTCTTAAGTCACTGGGGTATATTTGTAGCAATAGCCATTCAGCGTTCGGATGTTGTATAAATCTCAATTTCGAAAAATGAACACTTAAGACTGGTTTTGTGGTCCAGGGTCACATATTAGTACGCTTTTAATACAGATGAATTATTACATTTTTATTTTTCCCTTTTTTGCATTTCACATATGTCTTATATTTGTTTGTATCTTATATATTTATTTTCATTCTGCGAACAGAAGAAGGCAGGGTTATGAAGAGTCTAACAAATACAGGGCATAACTCTGATTGCGGGAGAACACGGAGAAGAGCAGCACCAGTCTCCTACAAAGAACCAGCCCTCAACTGGTGAGTTACACTTGAATGATATAACACAATCTAATGTAATGCAATAAAATATAATGTATTTATGTCTTAATACAGATTTTTTTTTTTAATGATTTTGGATAATTTTGAATTGACTTGTTGTTGTTGTTGTTGTTGTTGTTGTTGTTGTTGTTGTTGTAACAGCAAGATGAGGCGTGGGGACAAATACTCTGATACAAAATTCTTAAACTCTCCAGTGTTCAAAGACAAAAAGAAGAAGAAGAAACGAGTTTAGGAGTGATTTTCCCATTTATTGATTTCAGACTTTCCTTTGGTTTTTCATTTGATTTTATTTTGTCTTTTTTATGTAATGCAAATGTTTAAGATGGATTTTAAAGTAATCACAATGTGATTTAAAGTAAATCACAGCTGTTAACTTGCCTTCAGATCTCAGCTCAGTTTCATTCTTGTGTGTATATAGGAAATATTGTTTAAATTTTAGATTATTTTATTGGTTAATAAAGAGAACCTGCTCTATTAAGATGCTCTATTCTATTTTATTGTTAATTCTGCTTTCCATCCCTCTGTTGCATTCATACTGGTCATATGGAAGTCAGCTGTGTTCATTTCCTCGTCTTTTTCCTATCAAGATATATGTAGGAAAGTTGAGTCTGTGCGTTATGTAACCAGGCACTGGCCAACAGTGTTAAAGTGATTGAAGGACTGAATGAATAATTTAGAGGACTGTTCACCTGAGACGACTACAATTCTGAGACCGAGTAGGAGTGTCTGTTTAACCGGTTTATATTGTATGAGAGCAGACTAAAACTGCTGATATATAGTTACCTTATAACATTGTTCACCCATTCTCCCTCTCTTATCATCCATTTGCTATGCTCAGTTCATTCAAAGCAGTAGACCACTCAAGAAAACACAGTATGTGCAATCAAATCCATTAATATAATACAGTATTAAAAAGTGATCATTAACAACAGAACAAAATGCTTTCTTTATACTATTAAAGTATTTAATTTACTCTCTTCATCAGCCCAGGTACTGAAACGCTGGATCAAGGAACACAGTAAACAGGAGGTCTCTCCAGTAACAGAGACACTGCAGTCCTCCTCCACCTCCTCTTCTAGCTCCTCATTTAGTGTGAGTGTCAGTCAGCTGTTCCTCACATTTTACCACAATCTGTTATGACCCATACAGTAATATAATGTACTGAAAAAGTAAAAAAAATTACTGGCATCATGTGCTCAGATTGTGTACTAGAATTTTTGCACCTATATTTTGTGTCGAATACAGGATAGCGAGGACTCCTTAAAAGATGAAATCGCAAACTATGAGGGCTCGCAAGAATCTCTGCAGGACTGAAAACAGCAGCTGTATAACAAGCAAATATTAATTTTCATTGTTTATTAAACACATGTAACATTATTTCAGGTTTTTCCTCATTTGTCCTTATTGTTAAAATATTAGTTCTTTCCTGAGACTTTGTTCACAGCTGTAAAAAAATCAAAAGTTAAGAAAACTTAAAAGTTTAAGGCAACCTATGTTTGTAACCTGAGTGAACAAATGTCACGCTGAATGGGAATTATATACACCCGGTCTGAAAATGTCGTTTAGTCTGTCACTTTACATTATGCAGTGGTTCTCAACCAAGAGGGACCCATTTGGGAGCCTCTGCAAATTTCTGAAAGATTACATTTTGTTTGTTTAATAATTGAATTGAATTGAAGCAATCTAATTTTAATAAAATGTCTCTCTCTCTCTCTCTCTCTCTTTAAACACATGTAACATTATTTCAGGTTTTTCCTCATTTGTCCTTATTGTTAAAATATTAGTTCTTTCCTGAGACTTTGTTCACAGCTGTAAAAAAATAAAAAGTTAAGAACTTAAAAGTTTAAGGCAACCAGCTTCAGCAGATTTTTGAGTTTTCTCAACTTGTTTTTGTAGGAGATTTTTGAGTTTTCTCAACTTTTTGTTGTATAAATTGAAAACAACAAGTTGAGAAAACTCAATAATCTGCTGAAGCTAGTTACCTTAAACTTTTAAGTGTTCTCAACTTTTGATTTTTTTGACAGTGCAGGTAATAATAAAGACAGCAGATCAATTGACAAGGTTTATTTTATAAATACCAATAATACTTTTTACCGACTTTCTTAGTATTAGTCCAAAGTGTTCATACATAGTGTTATTTTAGAAATAGAAGGTGTGAATAATAATTAATTTACCCATGCATTTTCATTTGACATGTGAAAGAAGATTCAATGTTAAGTTTACAGTAATCTATAAAATTCTTGAACTATTACTTTCTGAACTCTGCAACATGTGGTGTGTTACAGACATTTTTGGATGTTGATGCATTCCATGTCATAAGCAATAATTCCATCACATAAAGCATCTCATTAGTGTCCAGGTCAGTAATTTGCCAGCTAGGAATTTTGATTTGATGAATCAGGGCTTTTAAATCTATGGATAGGATTAAGAGGTTGGCACCACCATCAGAATGCCAAATCCCAGTCATTGAAAGGACAAATAAAGTTTGATCTACCATGTTGATGGTGGTTTATAAAGCAGACCTCGTGCCCTAGTTTGTTTGACTGTTTCTCATGTTTAGGACTGTTTCCAGAGGCTCACATCAAAATGAGTAAGGTAAATGAAACCGTCAAAAATGATAACTTCATTATTTTTGCATTTCTTAAGGAAAGTTTAGATTAGCATTTGATTGAACAGTTGCTAATGCTGAAATGCTAATTAGAATGAATGCTACTATGACTATAAACAGAACAACAGACCTGTTACAGTTGTCTGTTTAATTTGCTGTAATCTGTGACATCTCTTGATTTCAGATTGTCTTTTATGAGGAGAGAAACTTCCAAGGTCGCTCCTATGAGTGTGACACAGACTGCCCAGACATGCACCCTCATTTCAGTCGATGCAACTCTATCAGAGTGGAGAGTGGCTGCTGGGTCCTGTATGAAAGACCCAACTACTCTGGTTTCCAGTATGTGCTAACCAGAGGTGAATATCCGGAATACCACCGCTGGGTGGGCTACAATGACACCATTCGCTCATGCCGTACATTTTCTTATGTGAGTAGAATGCATGTTTTATTCTATTTTATTATTCCATCTTTGTTGTTCACTGTTCTGCCACAGAAAACTCTATAGTTCTCAGTATCCATGCTGTGTAAATCTGTTGCATTTTGTGTTGCTGTACACATTTTCATTGCAGACATTCAAACTCTAAGCCATTTAAACCTTTATTTAAAAAATCTTTTGAAATGTTTTGCAGAAAAGTGATGGATCCTACCGCATCCGGATCTATGATCGGCCAGATTTCCAAGGTCAGATGATGGAATTCAGTGATGACTGCAAGTCCATTCATGAAAGTTTCCAGTGCCGCAGCGTTCACTCTTGCAATGTCATGGAGGGCTTCTGGACCTTCTATGAGCACCCCAGTTATCGAGGCCGTCAGTATTTCATGCCTCCTGGCGAGTATCGCAAGTTCAGTGACTGGGGTGCCATGTGTGCCACCATTGGCTCCTTCTGCAGGATCACTGATTTTTAGAGTTCACATTATGAAAATAATTGTGTCTTTTCTGGCATTAACTTGTCAATAAAATGTCACAAAGCCAAATGCTTGGCAGTGTATGTATTCATGCTGCAGGTGTGTTGATTACTACAGCTGTCCATGATCAAACATATATAGATTTCAGGCTGTATGGCATCTGTGGGAAGAAGCTTTAATTCCTAAAGGATTAGTATTCCCTTATGTTTGCCAGTGTAAATTATTTAAAAATACACTGTAAGCATTACATATCAATATCAATTTATAGCATGTTTTAGAAGTCAAAGAAATTATATACAGTATGGACAGTAGGAAGCCACCATAACATTGTAACAAAGGTTTTGATCCTTACAAACTCAACTTTTCTAATGGCAATCACGTAGAACTTTTCATTCTGGTAACATATTCAGTCACTGACAAAGCCTTGATGTCTTCTGTTAGGCCTTATTTTAATTAGGTAGCCATCTTACACTGGATAAAGAGTTAGAATGATTGCTGCAATACACTTGTTAGTGAGATAGATCATGGCAATGGGACTTTCGTTGACAAAACTACATACAAATATTTCTTGAATAGATTTCCTCATAAACATCCACTATTGGCTATACTAAAGGCATTTCACAATTTCAAGAACAAAACCTTTCAGTAACAATTAAATGTTCTTATTTAAACCTATAAACAGACTTGTGATATGTAATGTTAAAATAAATGCAGACAAATAACACTATTGTTATTCCCAGACCTTTCCAGCAGCTTTTACAGAGGCAATCAAAGTGATTGTTTGGAGTAAAACTGTCCAGGTTTGCAATATTCCTGTACAGTTTCTGCTGACATGAGTACACTGTGATTTAAATGACAACACAAACAATAGTACCATTATTTTCTTGGATATATATTTATAGTTCCAGCAGCATTTGGCACCTACATAGGAAAAAGTTCAAAGCCTACACAAACATGGGAAAGGTCTGTACGAATTAGAATAACGAATTAGCCATATATGAATTATTATTGTGCTGCTCTCATTATGTAAAATGTTTCCTCTAGATTATCTTTTACGAGGATAGGAACTTCGGCGGCCGTTATCATGAGTGCATGAGTGACTGTGCTGACCTGCATTCCTACTTCAATCGCTGTCACTCCATCAGAGTGGAAAGCGGTTGCTTCATGGTCTACGACTGAACCAATTTCATGGGACGCCAGTATTTTCTGAGAAGGGGAGAGTACCCTGATTACATGCGCACGATGGGAATGAATGATTGCATCAGATCCTGTCGTATGATCCCAGTGGTAAAGACTGAAGTTAATTGTTATCTGAAGTATAAATGTTCTTGTTTTAACATATTGAAATTAAGTACTCAGCCTTAACTTCCTGTTTTTTTTTGTACCCATTAGCATGGTGGGCCCTTCAGAATGAGGTTCTATGAGCGCCAGGACATGGGTGGCAGGATGATGGAGCTTGAGGACGATTGCCCCAACCTCACGGATCGCTTCAACATGTCCGACTTCCATTCCTGCCATGTGATGGATGGTCACTGGCTTGGTTATGAGCAGCCCAACTACACAGGCAGGCATTTCTACCTGAGGCCCGGCGAGTACAGGAAGTACAGTGACTGGGGCAGCATGAGTTCGAGGATGGGCTCCATCAGATGAATCATGGATCTCTAATGAAAGGAGTCCTTGTGAAATGTCTGCTGTATGCCCTTTTTCACACACTAAATAAAATGGTGTCTGTGCTCAAGTGTCTTGAGTTTTGTTCTTGCACCCTCTACCTGGAGGAGTCCCTGCCTGATGACGACTCTTGCTATAGGCTGCCAGACTGCTTGACACTGTTCGGAGAACTGAATAAAACTATAGAGACGTTTTCCTCCATGAGACAGGTTTCAAGCGTTCTATCTATCTGCTTGTGCCGTATATTAATACTCACTCATGGTAAATAACTAATGATAAACAGAAGAAGTGTAGAAAATTTGCTTAAAAATAATATGGCTTATGTCTAATACAATGTTTATATAGATAAACATTAAAAAGTAGGACTGTTATAACCATGTATATATGGGGTTCAACTTAGACAAAGTTTGGTTCAGGTAAACCCTGTTGTAAGTGAATAATAAATTGCTATGGATTAAAGGGTAATAAAACATTTATTAGAGTGTAAAGTATATACAGAATATATTAAATATATTATATAGTCAAAATACAGTTTATATATATATATATATATGTGTGTGTGTGTGTGTGTGTGTGTGTGTGTGTGTGTGTGCGTGCATATCATGTAATATAATGTATCCAAAATAAATAATACCATAAATATTAATTAAATTAAATAATCAACGTGAATTAATTAATAAATACATGCATACATTTAAATGCATACACTTACATTTAACATATTAATAATTTCTATAAATAATTTTTAAGTAATCATTTCATATTAATATGTTTTTTAATCATTTCCACACAACTGGCTATTGTAAATTCACATATTTAAGTTAATATCACATGACAAGTCTTACATGGAACTTACAAGCAATTTATCATGACTATTGGATATTGGGTATTGATATTAATGATTTTCTGCATTTCATCTATTCATTATGTGATCACAGCCTACATTTTTTTCTTTTTTGTTTTTGCTGCATTCATTCACAAAATGGCAGTACTGACAATATTTTTAACAAAAGAATTATAACAAAACTTTTTAAAACCAAATGGCAAAAAAGCATTTTTGTGTGTGTAATTATAATATGAATGACACATACAGTGTCGACACTTCGTGTGGGTAAATACTGTATATACCATAGAGCGTCACACTCACATGGCACAACTGCTATCGAAAATGGGGAAGGTAAATCAATACTGTGAGGAAAGTGAGAAAGTCATACAAAAATATAGTTTACCTTATATTCAAGATATTTACACTGGTTTTCCTGTAAACTGTGCATGCATATGGACTGTCTTCTCTCTCTTTTTTTAACAGATCATTTTCTATGAAAACAAGATTTTTGAGGGTCATCAGTATGAATGCAGTGGTGATTGTGCAGATATCCTCTGCTATCTTGGCTGCTGTAACTCCATCATGGTGGAGAGTGGATGCTTCATGATCTATGAACAACCATATTACAAAGGCCAGCAATTCTTGGTCCGTAAAGGAGAGTACCCAGACTTTGAAAGCTGGTTGGGCAAAAATGACTGCGTCTGCTCCTGCCGTGAAATTCCCATGGCCATGGTGATTATACTATATGCTTGAGTGAGCTACATTGGAAGTAATGATAAAGTTCACTTTTTTATCACTCTAAACATTCTTTTAAATGTCAGGAATGAGTGAAAAATGAGATAGTATTAAGATAGTAGTTGATTTAGACATGTTTTGTTCTTCTCTCCACCAGACACAGGGATCTTCTCATGAGGTGAATCTGTTTGAGAGAATGGAGTATGGAGGTCAAATGATGGCTCTAGTGGAGGACTGTCCAAATGTCATGGACATGTTCCAAACAAACCACATATTCTCCTGCAAGGTGATTGGTGGAAACTGGCTCTTCTTTGAACAGTCCAACTACAAAGGCATGATGTACCTCATGAGGCCTGGAGAATACACAAGATTCACTGAATGGGGAGGCTTGAGTGCCCGTGTGGGTTCCATCAAACGAATCATCGATAACTAGAATTAACATTCATGCAGGCTGCTTAGCAGTTTAAAAAAAAATTTTAATGTAATAAACACTGTTGTAAACACACACACACACACACACACACCAAACTTAAAATGATTTGCTTCTATTACTTAACAAAGGTCTGCCATGTTAAGCAACACAGGCAATCATGTTGAATAACAACTTACAGTATGTAGCCTTTATGCTTCAAACGCTCTTATATGTTACCTCATAAATAAATGTTTATACATTTTAAATCTATACATTTGCTTATTTTTGACTCATAGAATGTTTTATGTAACATTTGACAGTATATTACTTATAATGTAACTGTGTTTCTACACTTACAGCAGACTAATTAAATACTACTGCTTATAAATGAGCGCAATGTTTTCTTTTTTATCTCATGTTCCACTTTCACGTTAGTTTATTGGTATTTTCAGTTCGGTCATTATATAAGATGAATCATATAATAATATTGCAGCTTTATCCAGACTTAAATGAACCATCCATTACTCAACTGATTCAGTATAAGACCTGTTGCTTTTGCATTGATTTATTGTGCTGATTGCAGTCAGACTGACGCTTCTGCAAGCAGGACGGGGCATTTTGATGAATATGGAAAAACTGCACCAGGGCCAAGCCAAACATATTCAGATTGTTTCATTGCCCCCCCCTGATTCTAGCCCCTATTACTTTCTCCCTGGGCTAGATTTATTTGAATGACAATACTTTATGCTGTGCAATCACAGCGCAGCTTCTAGGTTTTATAAAAGATAAACTGGTTGCCAGTGTCGAGCAGTAGCTCTGCTAGATGCCAACATGACTATCGGAAAGGTAAGATGGCATCTCGCACTCTCATAGACTAATAGACTTATAATGGTTTTCAACTCTATAACATGAAGCCACTTTACAGCTGCAAGTTCACATTATTTCATATATTGTATAGTAGATTTATTATACCATTTATCTTTAACAGATCATCTTCTACGAGGACAGGAACTTTCAGGGCCGATACCATGAGTGCAGCAGTGACTGTGCAGACCTGCACCCCTATTTTACCCAATGCAACTCCATCAGGGTAGACAGTGGGTGCTTCATGGTGTATGAGCACCCAAATTATATGGGACAGCAGTACTTCCTGCGGAAGGGCGAGTATTCTGACTGTCAGCGCATGATTGGCTTCAGTAACTGTATCAGATCATGCCGGATGATCCCCATGGTAAGTGATTTATGGGAATTAGCAAATAAACATTGTTAACAAAACTAGTTCATCAGATCAAAGAAATAGAATGCGCATTTTTAGACTTCAGAAACACACTTTTGATATTCTTTGAAATAATAAATGTGTTAATTAAATATATCCCAAATCCATGTTTCTTGCAGTATGCTGGTAACTACAGAATGAGGCTATATGACCGGGCTGATATGGGAGGTCAGATGGTAGAAGTCACGGAAGACTGCCCTAACATCATGGACCGCTTCCATACATCTGACATCCACTCCTGTCACGTGATGGACGGTCACTGGCTTCTGTATGAGCAGCCCAACTACAGGGGACGAATGTACTACCTTGGACCAGGTGAATACAAGAAGTACAGCGACTGGGGAGGAACGGCCCCAAGAATCAGGTCCCTCAGGAGAATAACCTCTTTCAACTAGACAACATAAATTGGGCAACAACATATGCACTAAATAAAATCTCTTGACTGAAACTTTTGCTTGTCTGGTTATTAATTCTGTTCTAGTGTTTTCATGTGAAATTAATAACAGAAAAAGTATATTTATTATTAGAATAAAGAACTATTAGTTCCACATTTAATTGACCTATCAGTGACATTTTCTATTGCAAATCTGGTTACCAGACTGGAAAACATTCAATGGTAAAGCAAAACTGAGAGCGTACTGTCTCTCACACAGTTTATGCTTTTGGCTAAACAATGCAGGGCTCAATCTGGATTAACTGCCCTCATTGATGTTAAATCTCTCTCTACCATGACTGTCAAAAACAAAAGCAGCCCCGCTATTTAAAGGCACATTGACCTCAGAGAAATTAGAGGATGTTTTTAATCCACATGCATGTTTTAGTGGTACAAAGTGACAATCCAATACCAAATTACAAGAAGAAGTGAAAATACAAGCTATAAGTTATAGCTCCTAAACACATATTCAGTGATGGACACGCAACTTCATAATTTGAAGACGACTGAATAAGAAGACTAAATCGATCTTAGGTCATTTGGATTTATAGTTAAAGTAAGTAATTATGTTGTGGTATTAATTGGATGGATACAGGTACATTTCTGATCTTTTGTCATGGCTGTTGTTTCTTTGCTAATGGAACTTGATAGATGACTCTACTTTAGTAGTACTTTCAGATAGTGTTCTACTTTATCTATATTCACCCATGTATGGCTTTGCGATGAAGTGGTCATTTTTCTTCCTAAAATACTACATTTTTTAAGATTTAAAAAAACTATTTGCACACACAGAGTCATATAATGCTTCATGATATCACAAAAACATTCAATTAAATACTGCTTGCTTGCTTTTTTGGTGTATCTGCAGTAAGAGGCCTTCTTATAAAAGATGGTTGCATTGATCTTCATTATTTTCCATTTTAAATGTTTTACTGTAGTATTTTTGCCACTTTAAATATTAAGGCTATTTATATCTACACGCACAAGACATTTACAAAAAGCATATAAATAAAATGTATGTCCATGTTAAAGAAACATTTTGGACAAACTTGCTGTACAGTGAAAACTTCTGCTTTTGCTGTCATATAGATAAACAAAACATTCTTTCTTTTACATGCCACAAAATAGCAAAAACTGTATGTGGGCCTTTTACTGGGTCTTTAGCTTGTTGCTTTTACAAACAAATATCTATGGTTTTTAGAGCATGAAGCACATCAAAGGTTGACATTTGAATATCAGAAACAATGTTCACGTAACATCCCCAAAACACAGCTGACTTAACTCTGAATTGATGAATAGGACTTTTCTCTTTAAATGATCTTTTTCATATGTAAGAATTTATTGGAAAATTCAGCATGTCAATGCAGTTGACAATACTGTTGAATATGGAATCTCAGTAACTGCTCCCTCTGTTGAACAACTTCTTTAATGCAAAAGGGATGTTCCATATTGTTCTGTGTGCATTGTGCTGTGAATGTGTGGGTGCCGTACCAGTCCTTTCCCTGGACCATGTAAGAGAAAACACCAAACATGTAATTATATATCCTTTTTCAAGTAAAATCCATATTTTTGAACCCAATATTGTGCTCTAACAAAAAGGTAAACATGTGCCAGTACTCTGACATATTCCTGTATTCATTTGAATAACAATACTTTGTTTGTCAAGAGGCAGTATAAAAAGCTTGGGAAGCATATGGAATCTCTCCAACGGAGACCATGGGCAAGGTAGGATTTTTGGCACCACTTTCATGACATTTACATTGAATTGCACCTCCCCTATGTATGCTAAGCTTTGACGCTGATGGATTATTCTCCTAATCTCTGCACTAAAACAAAGTGTTGATTTTGTTGGCTTTTTCAGATTGTTTTTTACGAGGACAAACATTTTCAAGGTCGTAGTTATGAGTGCAGCAATGACTGCACAGACCTGCACACTTACTTCAGTCGCTGCAACTCCATCAGAGTAGAGAGTGGCTGTTTTATGATCTATGAACGTCCAAATTATATGGGCCACCAGTATTTTATGAAGCGAGGCGAGTATTCTGACTACCAGAGATGGATGGGCTTCAGTAGCTGGATTCGATCCTGTCGCCTGATTCCAATGGTGAGCTTCACTGAATGTGCTCAAAGTTATAACTCCTAAACACATATTCAGTGATGGACGTGCAGCTTTAGAATGTGAAGAAGACTGAATAAGAAGACTAAATCGATCTTAATTAAGTAATTTGGATTTATAGTAAAAGTAAGTAATTATGTTGTAATATATAAATGGGATGGTTACAGGTAATTTTATGATCAATTGTCATGGCTGTTGATTTTAATACAGTTTTTTTTGCTAATGGAACTTTCATGGATGACTCTACTTTAGTACTTTTAAATAGTTTTCTACTTTATGTGTGGCTTTGCGATTAAGTGGTCATTTTTCTTGCTGAAATACTGCTACTACTTTTTTTGTATTTGAAAAATAATTATTTGTCATTTTGTGTAACTGATGAATACCATTTGCACATATAGCATCAAATAGTGCTTTACAATATCACAAAAACATTAAATGATATACTGCTTACTTGCTTTTTACGGTGTATCTACAGTAAGAGGCCTTCTTATAAAAGATGATTGTATTTGTCTTCATTACACAAGACATTGACAAAAAGCATGTAAATAATAATATATATGTAATAATACATATGTCCATGTTACAGAAACATGTTGGACAAACTTACTGCAAATAGAATATTTCTACAATGAAACTGGTAACTTCTGCTTTTGCTGTCATATAATTAAACAACTCTAAATCATTTTTCCCCCTTTACATGCCACAAAAAAAAAATAAATAGCTAATAATGCCTGACTAAGAGCTGAAACAAACTAGAAGTTTTACAAACAGATATCTATGGTTTTTCTAGAACATGAAGTACATACAAATTTGACATTGAATATCAGAGACAATGTTCACATAACATCCCCAAAACACAGCTGAGTTAACTCTGAACTGATGAATAGGATATTTCTCTTTAAATGTTTCTTTGAAATTTCTCCTGCTGCATTTTTTTTTCACATGAAAGAGTTTATTGGAAAATTCAGTATGTCAATGCAGTTGACAATGCTGTTGAGAATGGAAACTCAGTAACTGCTCCCTCTGTTGAACAACTTCTTTAATGCAAAAGGGATGTTCCATATTGTTCTGTGTGCATTGTGCTGTGAATGTGTGGGTGCCGTACCAGTCCTTTCCCTGGACCATGTAAGAGAAAACACCAAACATGTAATTATATATCCTTTTTCAAGTAAAATCCATATTTTTGAACCCAATATTGTGCTCTAACAAAAAGGTAAACATGTGCCAGTACTCTGACATATTCCTGTATTCATTTGAATAACAATACTTTGTTTGTCAAGAGGCAGTATAAAAAGCTTGGGAAGCATATGGAATCTCTCCAACGGAGACCATGGGCAAGGTAGGATTTTTGGCACCACTTTCATGACATTTACATTGAATTGCACCTCCCCTATGTATGTTAGGCTTTAACGCAGATGGATTATTCTCCTAATCGTTGCACTAAAACAAAGTGTTGATTTTGTTGGCTTTTTCAGATTGTTTTTTATGAGGACAAACATTTTCAAGGTCGTAGTTATGAGTGCAGTAATGACTGCACAGACCTGCACACTTACTTTAGTCGCTGCAACTCCATCAGAGTAGAGAGTGGCTGTTTCATGATCTATGAACGTCCAAATTATATGGGCCACCAGTATTTTATGAAGCGAGGCGAGTATTCTGACTACCAGAGATGGATGGGCTTCAGTAGCTGGATTCGATCCTGTCGCCTGATTCCAATGGTGAGCTTCACTGAATGTGCTCCTTTTGTGGAGATACTTATATTACGGTTTCTTTGACACCAGTGTACTGAATCATTCATTTGCGTCTTGACGTCAACAGTATAGGGGACCATACAGACTGAGGATCTATGAGAAGGCTGACTACGGAGGTCATATGATGGAATTCACAGACGACTGCCCCTGTGTGTCTGATCGTTTCCACCATCGACATGTGTACTCTTGTAATGTGATGAATGGCTACTGGATCTTCTATGAATATCCCAACTACAGAGGGAGGCAGTACTTCCTGAAACCTGGGGAATACAGGAGATACCGAGACTGGTGTGCTACCTGTGCCATTGTGGGCTCCTTCAGACGAGTCACTGATTATTAGCCATTCTGCTTGCACTTATTTATATAAACTGTTCATTTCCTGTTTATAAGCATAACTGTTTATAAACATTTTGATTTTTCACTTCTTGTGCATGGACATAAAAAACAAACAAAGAGATAAAAATAAAATGATATTTGTAATAATAAAGTACTCGGATTTTACTGAATTCTCAGCACTAAATCAGTCTCTTATAACAGAATGAATTGGCTTTTTTCACCTTCTCACTTTGATTTTTAAAAAAACATTTTTACACATTTACAAATCTTAACAAAAAGCAATAATAACAATACAAAACTGCATTTATGTCAATATAGCATATAGCAAGACATAGAAATTGTACAGGAAAATATTTACCAGGATAAGCAAAATAGATTACAGGTCTATGAGATTCTGTTGTCAAACAGATGAAGCATGAAAATGACAAAATGAGATTGTATTTTAAATAATATATCAAATGCTTGCACTAGGTGAAAAAAAAACACAATGTTGATTATTATTATTACTATTATTATTATTATTATTATTATTGAGGTATATAAATAATGGATAATACCATTTCAAACATCTCTAACCTTAATTGCTAAATACTGTTTTTCAGATGTCCGATAATAATATTCATTATTTGCATAAAACGCAAATAAAAAATTTGCATATTATTTTAATAGGACAAAAAATACAATTTTGCATGCTTAATTTAACGCTTATGTACCAGGTAAACTGAATTACTCCCTGCAGTAACAATCATGCTTGTAATGTGCATGTAGGTTTGGAGGAAACAGAAAATAGAATTTTCCAGTGCAACATTTAAATATGTGACAATAAATAAAATATTTAGCAAATTGAAAAATAGCACATGCATAATTACAAGAAACTGCAAATGCAGTTACACATTTCTGAAAATTATTTTATGATTTTGTAGCACACTTGTTATGTCTCTAGTTGGAGTCACATGCACCGAAAGTTATACGTTCGAATGAGACATGTTACAGTATACTTTGCATGAAGATGTCACTTGTGATATTGAAAGAACATTCACTCTGGATTTGACTATAGTCTTGCCAATACTGTAAAAGACAATGCACAAACAGCTGCCAGAGATGTATGGATAAAAACTATTGTTTCAGTTTACTGGACCACTTCAGCAGAAGTCATACTGCTTGATCATCAGCTTCTGGCATTTGAATAACAACAAAATGCTGAATCCCCGACAATTTTCAAGCGACAGCTGAAAACCCATCTCTTTCGAAGCTACTTGACTTCATCATAAAAAAAATTTAAAAAAAAAACTCTCTCTATTTATTCCTTCTCTTTCTAGCTTGTACTTATTTGAACAATGTCTAAGAACTTGGTATTACAACCACTTCCTGTGTCTGTTTGCCTCTTTAAGAAGAATCGCTTTATGTATCCTCCAATTGTAAGTCGCTTTGGATAAAAGCGTCTGCTAAATGACTAAATGTAAATGTAAATGTAAAATGTGGGCCCCTGGTTTTTGTATAAAAACCACCACCAAAGGCCATCAAAGTACAGCTGGTACAGTGAGCTGAAGCACTGAGATAAACAACACACTACCATCATGGGCAAGGTAATTTGTTTGAAATAAGTATGCTTAATATTTCATAGAAAGCTTTAAGTTCATATTGCATCCCGTTTTTATTTAAAGACTAAAGACAAACATGATTCAATTCAATTCAGATCTAAAAGGCAATTTCTTTTTAAATCACCTGAATTTTCAATCCCACCAACAGGTCATCTTCTACGAGGACAGGAACTTCCAGGGGCGCAGCTATGACTGCATGAGCGACTGCTCTGATATCTCCTCTTACCTGAGCCGTGTTGGTTCAATCAGGGTGGAGAGCGGTTGTTTCATGGTCTATGAGCGCAACAGCTACATGGGGAAGCAGTTCTTCCTGAGGAGGGGCGAATACCATGACATGCAGCGCATGATGAGCATGGGCATGATGTTCGACACTATCAGATCCTGCCGCATGATTCCTCCAGTACGGCTCTCACTTTGTTTACAGTGTTGTGTAGATTTAGTAATGCACACTTTTTTATGATATTATACTATACTATGCATGCATTGCCGAGAAACTGCTAAATAATGATTATATTCTAATAAATCTTTCTTTGTTTTACAGTACAGAGGATCCTTCAGAATGAGGATCTACGAGAGGGACAACTTCGGAGGACAGATGTATGAGTTGATGGATGACTGTGACAGCATCATAGAACGTTACCGTATGTCTGACTGCCAGTCCTGTCATGTGATGGATGGCCACTGGCTCATGTATGAGCAGCCCCAGTACAGAGGCAGGATGGTCTACTTTAGACCTGGAGAGTACAGGAGCTTCAGAGATATGGGATACAGCAACATGAGATTCATGAGCATGAGGCGTATCACTGATATGTGTTAAACTGCTAGAATATAGAAGGAAATAAAGCGTTATTTTCAGAACTAAATTTGGTGTCTATAGTTTTATTGGCTAATTTTTTTAATTTTTTAAATAATTCAATACTT